AACGGTAACAACATCGCCCTACCTCGCTGGGGCTCGCCTGAGTCTTCGTCGGTGCGTGTCAACGCGATCACGATGAAACGCGCCGTAGCGGCAAGAGCTGACGTGTACGCGGTCGACATTCGGGAAGCCGAGGCAGCAGACAAAGGAGGGGATTTGCAGAAACTGCTGGCCGACGTACCGAGTGACCTGGCAGCACTATTGAAGCAGTACAGCGACATTTTCCCGGATGATTTACCGACGGGACTGCCACCTCAGCGACCGCACGACCACAGGATAGAGCTAGAACCAGGGGCACAGCCAACAGTACAGCGACAGTTCCGACTGACCCAGCCCGAACTGGACGAACTGAGGAAGCAGCTCGATTACCTGCTCGAGAAGGAATTCATTCGCCCTAGTTCGTCGCCTTTCGCAGCACCGATACTGTTTACACCGAAAAAAGACGGGGGATTTCGCATGTGCATAGACTACAGAGCACTGAACAAGGTTACCACCAAATCCCGTTACCCCATCCCGCGAGCCGACGAACTGATCGACCAACTGCGCACAGCCCGGGTTTTCTCGAAAATCGACCTCCGAGGGGGTTACCACCAGATTCGCGTCAACCCGCCCGACTGCCCTAAGACCGCATTCCGCACACGCTACGGATCCTTCGAATACACCGTCATGCCCTTCGGACTGACCAACGCCCCCGCCACTTTTCAAATGACCATGAACGAAGCTTTCCGCCCGCTCTTAGATAAGTGCGTCATAGTATACCTGGACGACATACTGATTTACAGCCCTGACAGAGCACAGCACTTACAGGACATCGAAGCAGTTTTTAAAATACTGAGTGAGAACCGCCTACTGACAAAAGCGTCTAAGCGTGAATTTTTACAGGATCGCCTGGAGTTTTTGGGACACGTTATTTCAGCTGCAGGAGTGGAAATAGACCCGAAGAAAATTGCGACGATTCAAGCATGGCACGCGCCGACCAACTTGACCGAGTTGCAGAGTTTTTTGGGGTTCGTCTACTACGTGCGCCGGTTCGTCCCCGACATGGCGAAGCTGACTGCCCCGTTGACTGACCTGCTGAGGAAGGGGGTTGAGTACACGTGGGGGGAGAAAGAGCAAGCTGCCTTCTCGGCCCTCAAAAACATTTTGTGCTCACCGCCCGTGCTTCACATCGCAGATCCACACCGTCCGTTCGAGCTCGTCACTGACGCAAGTGACATCGCTGTGGGAGCAGTACTGTTGCAGGATTTCGGGAACGGCCTCCAGCCAATCGCGTACGAGTCCCGCAAGCTGCACCCGCCCGAACGCAACTACCCGATACAAGACCGCGAAATGTTGGCGATCGTGCACGCGTTCAAAGTGTGGCGGTGTTACCTGACTGGCGCCGACGTGACAGTACGGACAGACCACCGATCACTACAGTACCTACGCGCCCAACCAAATCTCAATCCGCGACAGATTCGCTGGTTGGACTACCTCGAGTCCAACTTCCACTACACGGTTACGTACAAGAAAGGCGCATCCAACATCGCTGACGCACTCACCCGCCCTACCGCCCAACTCCACGCCATCCTACTCGCCCAGACCAACCCGCTGTTAACAGGCCTATTCACCCACGGATACCGCACCGACCCATTTTTCACGTCTGGAAACTCACAGCAACTGGCAGAAGCTAAAGGATTTTATTACGTAAAAACAGGCACCAACCGCATCTGGGTACCCGCGTACTCACTACTGAGGGAGCTGCTACTGCAGGACGCACATGACGGAATTACCTCGGGACATTTTGGGGTAGAAAAAACGCGACAGCAACTGCAGCGGTATTACTACTGGCCGGAGCTGTTGACCGACGTACAGCAGCACGTGGGCTCGTGCCCCACGTGTCAGGTGATGAAAAGCTCGAGGAAGCGGAAGGCGGGTCAGTTGCAACCGATACCACCGCCCAAGCTCGCCTGGCAGCAGGTTACCATGGACTTCGTCACAGGGTTACCTTCGAACCCTGGGGGTAACGACGCGGTGATGGTCGTCGTTGACAGGTTGACGAAGATGGCACACTTCGCTGCGTGCAAAAAGTCGATCTCAGCCGAGGAGACCGCTCGTCTGTTCATCGCAGCCGTTGTTCGCCTGCACGGGATACCAGCAGCGATTATCGGCGACAGGGACACAAAGTTTACAAGCAACTTCTGGAAAAATCTCTGGGAGCAGTTCGGGACCAGGCTACAGTTCAGTTCGTCGTACCACCCCGAGACCGACGGTCAAACGGAGCGGACGAATCAGACGATGGAGCAGTTGATTCGTGCCACGTGCGACGACCCCACGACTTGGGAGCAGCAGCTGCCGCTGATCGAGTTCGCGTACAACAATGCCACGTCAGCGACGACGCAGCAGTCCCCCTTCTACCTGAACTACGGGCACAACCCTACAGTGCCCATGACGCCGAGTCCGGACAACCCAACACCACGTGCACAGCAATTCGCCGAAATTCTGCAAGCTGCCCGCACCAGAGCCGCAGAAGCAATTAAAAAAGCAAACGTCATCGCTAAGCGCAACGCTGACCGCCACCGCCGCCCAGTCACATACCAGTCAGGGGATTACGTACTGCTCGACACGCAAAATCTGCGACTGCTCGACGTACCAAAACTTCGACCGCGCTACTGTGGTCCATTCCAAATCAGCCACATGATCACGCCAGTAACCGCGCACCTACTGTTACCGACCGACTGGTACACCAGCCCTTCGTTCCACGTCAGCTTGCTTCGCCCCTACATCCCAACCACAAGCCAACTGCCTCGCCACCGCCCGCCATCCATGACTCGCTCTGCCTCGGAGCCGATCATCGCGCCCGAAAAAATCCTGAGCCATCGGATTCGACACCCCACGGGAATCAAGAGGATTGAATTCCTCGTTCGCTGGAAGGATCGCACGCCAACTGAGGACAGCTGGGTGCCCCTGGCCAACATCGAAAACCACCCTGCCCTGCAAGTGTACCTGAGGAGCCGGGGATTCCGCGATATACACGCACTCGCGTAGCGGAGGGGGCTTCTTGAGGGGGGGGGGTAGTGTAAGGAATTTTCTCGGCATTCCTTACGGAGCCCGACTACATCGCGTACAGCAACAGCCGTTGTTCGCCCATTACTGCTAACGGGGCTTCGCCGACTTCGCGCGCACTGTTTCACCAAACCTCGCACTGCTGGCCTGGCCGTGTCGGCCTACGCTTCGGGACTAGCCCGAGCCTCGCTCCAGCGCAGCACTAGCTAGCTCGCACGCACCGCGTTACCGTTTGCATGTTTCGCGTATAAATGTTCGCTCATGCCTTCGCTCACATTTTGTACTCGTTTTGACACCCTAGTGCAATTCTCGCTACTTCGATTCATTGCACCCGTAACAATAGCCCAGACCAAAATAAATACCGTAATGGAGGAGGGGAAAACGAGATGAATTTAGGGGCGTATATGTGTACACTGGCTGCTGGGGAACTGCCTGCAAATCAACAGACCGCAATGGGTCGTCAAAGATCGTAGTCGTCGTAAGGTTTCGCAGGGTTCGTTGCAGGGTACGCGACAAGGTGCCGGGTGGGCAATAGCGAATCGCATCACCCGCACGCTCCGAGATCACGTCGTTCAAACATCAGGAACTGTTGTGCTCTCAACAACCAAGCCTGAAGGGGCTCAACGAACCGCTGCTTCAGGCGGAACAACTGCGCTGTGATGCCAAGAAGTACAGTACAGTTCGAGCCTTACACAATTTCGCCTCTTGTGATAAGGGCTTACTTTTTTTGTAGGGCAATGAAATACAGTTGATCGTTGCGCGATTGCGCGGCAGTTTGCAAGATTGTACAAAGACTATTTATTTGAAGTAAATATACTCTGCCCGCCTCATTCGCTCGCGTTTACAGCCACAGCCCGATAAGGGGGCTGTATCAACGAGCAGGCCCAATGGTTGAGGTTCGGCAAGGCACCGAACCTGCTGCCCCCAACCTCGAAGAAAACCACCAATCGCATATGGAATTCGCCAAAGCTAGCCCCTTCGTACCTGGAAGCCACATTGCCGCCGCCGACTTTCAACGCGACTCGTCTGGATGAATCCATCACTTCACTCTCCAGGACCCTCGCCTCGCCCTTGGTCTTGGTCCAATTTTACAATTTCCAGCTCTCAGAAATAGCACGCAACACCCCACCCCACCTTTTCCTCTCCTCTCACGCGGACAAGAGTTCTGAAACGCTCGACTCAACCACAATACACCGCAGATCTCCCTTTTTGCGTTCACCAATATTTTACTTCATGGATCGGACGGCTAGTCATAGCCCGCGATGTTCCAAGCGCTCCTGGGACGCTGCTGTCGAGCCCGGAATGCCAGCAAACGGCGCGCGAAACGCTACAGAATGTAACCATACGGGCATCGACTGTTACAAAAACGGCATATCATACTCCGACGAGGAAGATGCGTGTTCGCGTGGCCTCGGGAATGCCGATTGCTGCGATCGCGCGATTCTACCAACCACGGGAAAACCTTTCTGGTTGACCGTGTTAGCCTCGAAGAGCTCTGTCCGCGGAGGCGCGAAGAGAATTCTATGGTGGCTGATGCTGGCCGTCATCGCTGCGTCATTTACTGCTAAGATTTTCTTCTCGGGTAAGAAGCGCACGTCGCCTATTTCCCTCTTTCGCTCCATTTTCCGCTCGCCGCTTCCTCCACCGTAACTCTCGGTCCCTCGCCTGGATCTTATTCACCCACTCCACCTACTTTTCTCTGTGCCGTAGACATACGTCAGCACCAATTGCGTCAATGTTGAGAATTCTCAAGAATGTCACACGCGTCGTGAGCATCACTTGGATTAGCATCGTGAGCATCACTTGGATTATACAATGTCAAACATTTAGAGATCGTCATCTACCCGTCCCTCTTTCCCTGCCCATTCGCCTCGTTCCCCTCATCCCCCTCCCATTTTCCCCTTCCTCCCCTGTCCTTTCCCCACCGCGCCCCTTGTGCGCACGCACCCGCGCGCCAGGCTCGCCTCTTGATTGCATGGTCGATCCGCCGCTCCATGCAGCCCACCCCTCCGGTGAGTGTGCGCTGATGTGTTTTGCCTATTTTTTTCACGCCTTGCCTCCCCCTTGACTTCGCGCAATTTCGTTTCCATGCCCTGCACGTGGCTTGACCCCCGGGGTTTTTCATCTATTGTTGCTCGCGCGCAGATATTTTTAGTGCAAAATATGGAGCAATAGCTCATTAAATGACGATAAATCTTGAAGCACAAGTCACGGTGCATGAATCTCCACCTTTCGGCTTTTTCTCGACCGCCGTCCGTTGCTTCTTCATCCTCCTCGCGGCTACCCCCTAACAACTCCTCACGATTTTCAATCGCCATCCGCGCCTATTCCCCACGTTCCTTTCAGGAAAAGAGTCCGCGGAGTCTTCTTCCGCCTATGCCCTCCGCACGGTACCGTTGCGCCAGTTCCTCCTCCGTCGCACAGCGTCAGGGGACGGCGGAAGCGTCGCCGTCGCCCCCTGGCGCATTTGGGGCTGCCATATGGGGGATCGGCGCAGAGAAGGGGCGGAAGTACGGGCGGGGCTGGGTTCGGATAGCGTGGTGGTACGGACCTCGGCGGAAGCGACGGGGAACCTGGTCGGTGGAAGCGAAGAGGTGGAGGGGGAGGGAGCAGAGCGGGTGGGGTTGGCGGATGGGGTATCGGCGGGGGGGAAAGCTAGAGTTAGTGATGCTGCCTCTAGAGAGGACGGGGAGAAGGAAGGAGGGGCGACGGAAAAGAAATTGTTTGTGAAAGGACGTGTGAGCCACACGAGCATGGAGGGCGGAAGCGGGGATGCGAAGGAAGGGGTGTCGACTAAAGAACAGGTGATTGATGAAGGGAATGAGTCAGTCTCATTAGAAGAGACAGCAGCGACCACATCAGCAGACGGAGCAGCAGTTGAAGAAACAGAAGCAGATAAAGAAGCAGCAGCAACGCCAGAAGGAGCCGCAGCAGAGGAAACAGATTCAAAAGCAGTTGAGTCAGCAGAATCGTCAGCAGGAGAAAGGACGGAGCCGCTCACGAAAACTAACGCCATTCATCCACCACAGCCCCTCGTTCCCTCCACTCAACCAGAGCTGGCGCAACCTTCTATCCAATCCCAAGGTGTGGACATCTTCTTTCAGGGCGAGTTTGGGTACGAACTGATCGCCGTCCTCCCATTCGCCTACTGGCACCATCTCAACGGCTCCCTCCGCTCCACCACCTCCTGCGGCCGACATTCCTTAGCCTCACTTTACTACTTCAGCCCCAACCACACAGACGACGCCACGTGTCATCGAAGTGACATGAAGGACAACGTCGCTGCATACGGGTTTCCTGGCGGCATTCACTATAGTCGCATCCCGCCAGCCTGGCAGCCGCCCCCTCTTGCCCACTACTTCAGGAAGCTTCCCCCTGTATGGCCGGAGATTCCCAAGGGATCCCGGCTGGTGGTTATTGGGAATAAATACGAGCGGGAGTGGGGCCATTCACCAGTGAATTTCATTGATTTACCGACTTTATTGGGAATTGTTGGGGCGTATTTAGAGGCGGGATTTTATGTGTTGTATAACAACCCAGGGATGTCACTGGAATCAGACCACCGGCAGGTTATTAAGGACGGCACAGATTTGGGGGACTATGAGGCGTTACAGGAGCGGTTTGGGGAGAATTCACGGCTTCAAATCATGCAAAATCTTCAAAAGCGGTGGCCAGACTTGGGGTTCAACGACGTGCAGTTCAGGATGCTGGCGCGGAGTGTGTGTTTCGTGAGCGTGCAGGGAGGGGGCAGCATTGTGGAGAGCTATTTTGGTGGAAAGAACATCATCTACTTTAGTGAGGGACAGGAGGTGAAGGGCGGGGCGTATGAGAGGATTTACCCGCAGCTGTCTGGAGCGAAGGTGAAGGTTGTAACCAGTTATGAGGGGCTGGTGAAGAAGGTGGATGGGATGATCAAGAAGAACAAGTGCCATGCGAAACTTCACTAGTATAACAGTAACTTGAGGGAATAATGATAAGCAAGACTATTACCAAACCCCCAGGTTGTAATTGTAAACTACATTGTGTTACTGTGTGTGCATGTGCAATTTAGAGGAAGCTAAGTGAGACAAATGAGCAATGTTTTCGTTTAATTCATCAAAACCATTTAACAGAAAGGATAACGCATGTAAAAGCTTCATACAGCAAACAAGTCTGGCGTTGGAACCTTTTCGAGCACTCGAGGAAGCTAAACGTGGAGACGACTGCAACTTCCACGTGTATGTGACTGCGTTGCGTTGGCCGTTTGTATAATGTCACCGAAATCATTTGATATCAGCCAAGTACTGAAGCTTTCAAGATCAGCAGCAAACAGATACAAAACTTGAAGTTTATGTAAGTACCGAAGATCTGCACCCGACATGAGAAACTTGGGGAGGGACCCTGGAATGCTCTAGCGGGGTGAGAACATCCCCAGACCGCCCCGTTCTCCAGACAGTGGCGAAAACTATTTCTGGGCTGTCCCGGTGTGTACAGTAGCATTTGTTTTTGGTCAGGTCGCCACCACCGCCTCATCACCCCCACACGTGACAAGCAGGTACAGTGATGGATCAGTAGATACATACTAACGGACAACTGACCCCGCCCAACGGAGCTCGCTGCCCGCGGGCAAAATATATAAACCCCGTACTGTGTTGGTTGGGCCGTTTCATGAGCATAATTTGTACGAAAACGCATCCCGGTGCTCCTGCTTGTTCGAAGTTCGAACATCGCGAAACAGGGTGTTGCGTGCTCTCCTCGCCACATTGCGTACTCAAATTTCGAATGAAGCATCTGATCTCGCTCTATTTTGCTCTGTCCGCGCGGATCCGCTCCGCTCGCTGGTGCACTTCGTTGCGGATCTGCCTTCCCGACCCCCCCACCCACCCTTCCCCCCATCCCCCTTCCGCTATCCTCGGGTTTCCCCCCGTGTCCCATCGCCGAAAGATAGCCGTGTGAAGACTTGCGCATGAGCACAGACGGAATGGTGCTCCATATAGCTTGGTACATGAGGAAACGCGGACCTGTTCGTCGGCAGCACATCAACTTGCGCGGCAGCTTTCAGCCTGCCTGTGATTCGTCCAACTTCCAGAAGCCTACGTCAGTTTCGAGGAAACTCCGTTTCCGCCTGGTGTCAAGCGAGGGTGCGTCGGTAAGTTACAGCTTCTCCTTCCTCTTTCGCCTCACGGTAAGTCTCGGAATGGTTGTCTGGAGATTATTGTCGGGGATCTTTAGTGCGTGATCTTTAGTGGGGCATTCCGTTGATGCCTCTCCCCGGCCCCCTTCCCACCTGCGATCGCTCGCTACAACCATCGACTTTCCGCTAGCCCTTATAATGGCTCCCCGGCGGCATCATGATTGTCACAAGCAGCAAATAAAGCTGGATTCAGAAAAGGCGCTCTTAGGAGCGGAGAGCGACGGGAGTGCCGAGGGAAGAAACATTTTTTGGCGGCTGACGGAGCTAGTAGTAGCCTCGAATAGCCGCGGCTTCGTCCGCGCAGGCGCGAAGCGATTGCTTTGGTGGCTGATGCTGGCCGTCATCGCTGTTCTAACTGCGAGAATTTTATTGTTGCATCGCGGAAAAGGCAAGTGCAGGTTTTGGAGGCCGACGGTTTTTCTACAAATAAAACACACAAAAAAAGTCCCAAGCAGAAAGTCACAAAGACGTCACTTTCGGGGTCTCCGCGACGTGGGTAGAGGGTAGCTTCCTCCTTTCTTTCCGCTTTCTCCATCTCCCGCCTCCTCCGCCGGGAGACAGGCTCCTGGGACTTATTTCGGCCATTCGGACCATGTTACACTGGATGGATGGACTGAATGGCTGAACTGGCAGTTTTGGCTGATGCCTTTTGCGTTTCACATGGTGGTGATCGTATTGGCTGTTTGAATAACTTTGCAGCGGCATACATGATTCAGTGTCACATGATTTTGCCCGCAAAGCATCTTTCCGGCGCTTTTGGGGACGGATTCGGGACAGATTGAATCTATACGGTATAGATCGTCGTCTGTCCCTTCCCTCCGCCCATTTCAACCCTTTCCTACACCTCACCCCCCCTCATTCCCCTCCACCGTCCCTACATCCGCACCTGTCCTCCCCACCCCAGCGCTTAAAGCAGCCGCAAAGGAAGCCGCACTGGAAGCCGCAGCTGCAAAAGTAGAAGCAGCATCAGGAGAAGCAGCGGAGCAGTATAGGCGCACCGTCCACCAAGGCGACCAGGAAGTCCAGGAAGGTCGGCATAGCCATGGCGCTCAGGATGGGGTGGACATCTCGTATACAGTGGAATTCGGTTACGAGCTACTCACCGTCCTCCCACTGGCCTACTGGCACCATTTGAACGGCTCACTCCGCTCCACCACCTCCTGTGGGCGTGATTCCTTGTCTCTGCTCTACTACTTCAGCCCCAACCACACAGACAATGCTACGTGTCATCGAGCCGGCAAGGATTTCAAGGATGCGATGCATGGCTTTTATGGAGGTAAATTCCCGCCAGCCTGGCAGGCACCCCCTCTTGCCAACCACTTCAGGAAGCTTCCTTCCGTGTGGCCAGAGATTTCTATGGGATCCCAGCTGGTGGTTATCGGGAATAAATACGAGCGGGAATACAAACACGCACCGGTAAATTTTATCGATTTACCAACTCTACTGACAATCGTCGACTCGTTTTTGAAGGCTGGTTTTTATGTGGTGTACAACAACCCGGGAATGTCGCTGCAGTTTGACGCCTGGCAGGTGATCCGTGATGAAAAGGACTTGGGAGATTATGAGGCGCTGCAGCAGCGGTTTGGGGAGAATCCACGGTTCCAGATCATGCAGAACCTCCAGAAGCGGTGGCCAGGATTGAGTTTCAACGATGTGCAGTTCAGGATGCTAGCAAGGAGTGCGTGTTTCGTGAGTGTGCAGGGAGGGGGCTGCACACTCCAGAGCTACTTTGGCGGCACCCACCTCGTCTATTTTCGTGAGGGGCATGAGTTTGAAATCGGGGCTTACGAACGGATTTATCCTCGGCTGTCTGGAGTGAAGTTGACGGTGGTAACCAGCTATAAGGGGCTGGAGAGGAAGGTGCACGGGATGATTAAGAGCAACAACTGCTTTGCACAACTGCAATAGCCATGTCATCCCTTGCAGGACCAGGAGAAAGTGTCATTCACAAAAGATGTCATCTGTACCTTCATGGAAATCTGGACTAGGGTGGAGAGGGGAGCAATGTTTTTATCAAATCACCAGAACCATTTCCTTCAGAATTAGTAACGTTAAACGTATCCAAGTGTTAAACGCATCCAAGTGTTAAACGTTTATAAGGCATCTCCTGCATTGAAACTAGTTACAGCACAACAGAAAGCAAACGTGGAGACTACCGCGACTTCTACGTGGCAGGTTTCTAACCAGGCAGATTCCATCAGTAACCTGATTGGCCCAGCCTCCCCAATTCTTGGGCGTACACGTTTTCAAGGTCACCAGCACAGCTGCGCGAAACTTTCTGGGGTTCCGCGAAAACGGTACAGGCGGTTCGGAAACATTCTCAGAATCGTCGCGCTCCTCCAGAATAATCTCTAGCTGGAGGTTACAGTACAGTACCTCCAGTAACCAGTCTCATTTATAGCCCTGTGCTGGCGTCATCTCACGCACACGTGCTGGCGCAGATCACGCAAACTGGGCCCTGAGTTCGATAGTACGCGAATCGGGTTCCACTCCACAGCTCACAGTAGTCAAATCGCTGCCTGCCAAGCCGCAGCTCACGCTAATATTTGTACTATCGCGAGCCGAATACAGCGTTGACACGTGTCAATGGTGCATCTAACGGAGCTGCGAATCGTGCTGCCCTTCACGTGTGCGTGTCAGGGGGGGGGGGGGGGGTGTATCGGGGGGGGAAATGCGGGGGACGCGAGGATACGCGGAAACCGATGGGCGCGGAAGCGCGTCTAGGAGTTGACTGATTTAGTCATTTGGTTGTTCTTCCGTCTCGCCTCCCCTTCAATTCCCTCTGCTGGTACCTCAATCCCCTTTTGTGCCCTTCTGCTGGTTCTCTCCTCGCTGATTTTTTTTCGTGGCCTTGCACTTTCCCGGCATGGCATGGCATGGCATCACATGGCGTCACATGGCGTCACATGGCGTCACATGGATCACATGGCGTCACATGGCGTCACATGGCGTGACATGGCGTCACGTGGCATGGCACGACATCATGGCACGGAATGGCATGGGGGGGGGGGCGGACCGGGACGCCACGGGGTGCGCGTGGGGAAGTGGGGGTGGGGGGAAGCGGGGTGTGCGGGGGCGCGCAGTGGAGGAGTTCAAGCGCGGGCAGCGGTATGCCAACTGGCGCACCAACGAGGATGCCACTGAGCCCGGGCAGGGCGGCACTGTCAGTCGCCCCCCTCCCTCCCTCCCTCCCTCCCTCCCTCCCCTGCCTCCGCTCCTCCTTTGGTGCTTCTCCCTTCCCCTCTTCGTTCCTCCTGCTCGCCTCCCTCGCTGTTTGCCTCGAGCGCCGTCCCACTCGTGCTGTGTGTGTATCCAAACGGCGCCACCCATCTCTTCCCGTCTCTGCCCCATCTCTTCCCGTCTCTTCCCCATCTCTTCCCGTCTCTGCCCCATCTCTTCCCGTCTCTTCCCCATCTCTTCCCGTCTCTGCCCCATCTCTCTCTCATTCTCCTCCTCTCTCCCTTCCCTACCCACACTCTCCCCCCCACCTCCCCTCTGTCGCCCCCAGCTGCTATCCTCAACGCCCTATTACCACGAGCAGCACGGGGAGGGCCTCTTCACGCACAGCCTCTTCCGCCTCGGCAACCGCCTCCCCGACTGGGTGCGTTGAGTAGTGGGCACCGTGTTTTCAGTCGACTGGGTGCGTTGAGTAGTGGGCACCGTGTTTTCAGTCGACTCAAAACACGCCTCTTCACGCACAGCCTCTTCCGCCTCGGCAACTGCCTCTTTGACTGGGTGCGTGTGTTGTGCATGTGTGCATGCATGTTCTGTGCGTGTGTTGTGCATGTGTGCATGCATGTTCTGTGCTTGTGTTGTGCATGTGTGCATGCATGTTCCGTGCATGTGTTGTGCATGTGTGCATGCATGTTTCGTGCATGTGTTGTGCATGTGTGCATGCATGTTCCGTGCATGTGTTGTGCATGTGTGCATGCATGTTCCGTGCATGTGTTGTGCATGTGTGCATGCATGTTCCGTGCATGTGTTGTGCATGTGTGCATGCATGTTCCGTGCGTGTGTTGTGCATGTGTGCATGCATGTTCCGTGCATGTGCATGCATGTTCCGTGCATGTGTTGTGCATGTGTGCATGCATGTTCCGTGCGTGTGTTGTGCATGTGTGCATGCATGTTCCGTGCATGTGTTGTGCATGTGTGCATGCATGTTCCGTGCATGTGTTGTGCATGTGTGCATGCATGTTCCGTGCATGTGTTGTGCATGTGTGCATGCATGTTGCGTGCATGTGTTGTGCATGTGTGCATGCATGTTCCGTGCATGTGTTGTGCATGTGTGTATGCATGTTCCGTGCATGTGTTGTGCATGTGCGCATGCATGTTCCGTGCACATGCAGGTGAACCGGCTGGTGCCGCCATCGGCTCTGGTGGTGGATGAGAAGAGCTGGATCAACTACCCATACTTCCGCACCATCATCACCATCCCCTTCTTTAGCAAGGTACGTGCCTCCATGCATGCATGTGTTGCCCTCCCATCCCATATCTCACTGTCACCATCATCACCATCCCCTTCTTTAACAAGGTGTGTGCGCGCATTGTCATCAACAGCACATTCATCACCATCCCCTTCTTCAGCAAGGTGTGTGCCGCCTGCATACATGTGTTGCCCTCCCATCCCCTTATCACCCTCACCACAATCAGCACAATCAGCACAATCAGCACCCACCTCACCACAACTCCCCACGTTACCCGTACCACACCTCCCCTCCACCCCACATTCTCCCTTTCCAACCCCTTTTCCTCTTCCCCCCTCCCTTCACCCCCTCTCCAGCTCCGAATGGAGATCGAGACCATTCACCTGCAGGACGACGGCTCGCACCGCAACGCCTTGGGGTTGTCGGCAGCTGAGCTGGCGCTGCGGCGCGTGGACTGGATGGACATCGGCAGTGAGCCCGTGTCTAGAAGAGACTACAAAGCTGAGCTGGACCCCCTATTGGTCCGCTCCAAGCTCACAGGGTGAGTCAACGTGGGGTTGTCGGGGCGCTGCGGCGCGTGGACTGGATGGATATCGGCGGTGCTTTTGAGTCGACTCAAAAGCGCGTGGACTGGATGGATATCGGCAGTGAGCCCAAACCCCGGCGGCGCTGCGGTGGTTTCCAAAAGGGGCTACAAAGCCGAGCTGGACCCACAGCTGGTCAAATCAACGGTCACAGGTTGTGTCACCTCCAGTCAACGCTAGTCAATTCAAGTCAACCCTAGCAGGGTGAGTCACCTCCAGTCAACGCCAGTCATTTCAAGTCAACGTCTAGCAGGGTGAGTCAGTGCTGGACGTCTCATGCCTTGTCCATCGTTCTTCCTGTTTCCCACCCTCTCTCATCTACCCTCTAACCCCGGGGTGGCAGAAGAGGGAGCGGCCGCTGATGTGTGCGCACAAGGTGGTGCCACATCTTGTGTCATGTCTCCCATCTCCTTTCTCTCCTGCCTTCTCTCCTGTCTTCCACTCCCTCCCCACCAGTCGAGGCCCCCTAACCCCGGGGTGGCAGAAGAGGGAGCGCCCGCTGATGTGTGCGTAGCGTACAAGGTGTTGCCATGTCTTATCCCACTCTTCCCCCACCCTCACTCTCCCCATTCCCACTCCCCCCCCATCTCCCACCCTCTTTTGACCAGTCAAGGCCCCCTAACCCCGGGGCGGCAGAAGAGGGAGCAGCCGCTCATGTGTGCATACAAGGTGGTGCCATGTCTTATCCCACTCTCCCCTCGTCCCCATTCGCCCCCCATCTCCCACCCACCCTCTATTGACCAGTCGCGGCCCCCTAACCCCGGGGTGGCAGAAGAGGGAGCGGCCGCTCATGTGTGCATACAAGGTGGTGCGGGCCCAGGCGGAGTACTGGGGTGTGCAGAACAGTGCAGAGCGGTTGCTCATCAACTCGCTCAGGCAGGTGGGTGGGTGTGCGTGGGTGTGGAATGTGAGTGTGGGAGTGGGCGTGGGAAGGGGAATGCACGGGTAGTTGGTGCTGCGTCATGCCATCACAGGCGGAATACTGGGGTGTGCAGAACAGTGCAGAGCGGCTGCTCATTAACTCGCTCAGGCAGGTGCGTGGGGGTGTGGATGGGTGTGGGTGTTGGAATGGCAATGGGTGGGCTGGTGTTGCTGCCTCATCCCATCACATGCGGAGTATTGAGGTGTGCAGAACAGCGCAGAGCGGCTGCTCATCAACTCGCTCAGGCAGGTAGGCGGCGCTGACAGTTGGCTTTGGATGGGTAGGGGATGTCATGCAATGCCTTGCCATGCCACCCGCGTCACACTTCTACGTCCAGACAATCAACACCGCCCGTTTCAAGCCTTCCTTTTCACATCGTTTTCCTCCTCATCATCTCATTCCTCAATCCCCTCCCTCCCACCCCTCCACCAGATATTCCTGCGAGCGCACAAGAACTGCTTCGGGCTCTTGGACCACTGGCATGCAATGGCAGCACAGTGTGCTATGTCCGGCCATACCATACCCCACCACGCCCCCCTGAAGCCCCCCTTTCCCCCCTCCCTCCCCTCCCCATCTCCCCCACCAGATATTCCTGCGAGCGCACAAGAACTGCTTTGGGCTGTTGGACCACTGGCATGCCGTGCCATGCCCCACTGTTTCTGCTGCCTCCCCCCCCTCCTCCCTCCCCCCACCAGATCTTCCTGCTAGCGCACAAGAACTGCTTCGGCCTCTTAGATCAATGGTACTCGCTCTCGCTCGAACAGGTTCGCCCCTGCCCTCTCCCACACGCTCTCTCTTCCCCGCACTCTTGCTTCCTCACCCTGTCTCCCCCTCACTCTTCGTACGTACCCCGCTCACTTCTTCCCCCCAAATTTCTTCCCTTTTTTCTCTTAGAACATCATTTCCGTTTTTTCACTTCCTCCTCTCTATCCCTCCCCCTCCTCCCTCCACCTCCCCGTCAGATCATTGCAATCACTGACAAGAACAAGCCACAGGTTCAGGTCCCAAAGCCCCTTTTTCCTCTCCTCTCCTCTCCTCTTCCTTTTGCCCACCCCCCTACCCTGCTCTCCGCCTCCCCCGTCAGATTATTGCAATCACTGACAAGAACAAGCCTCAGGTCCCCGTCCCAAAGCCCCTCCCTCCTCCCGAACCTGCTGCCGAGCCTGTTCCAAGATCTGCCGCCGAACCTGAAGCTCGTAGCAAGAGGGAGGGGATCGCAGCAGGCGGTGTGGAAGAGGGGAGGGAGGGGAGGAGGGATGGGCTTCTGACGAGAGGGAGTGAGAGTGAGGGAGGTGAGGAAGGGGAGGAGACGGAGGAGGAATCAGAGGAGGAGGATGAGGAGTGGGATGATGAAGTGGAGTTCTACGAAGCACAGGTGCGAGATGCGCCTGCCATGCTCTACTTGTTCCTGCCAGGCTCGACTCGCATTCACCTGCATTCATAGCAAAGGAGTCCAGCCGTATGGCAAAGAACTTTTAAGGAGCCGGATGGCTCTTTGTACATACACCAAACGTTCTTAATGCATACATCCCCTTTTGAGAATCCTCAAAAGTGATTTCTGCATACAATCCCAATGCTTAAACACCACCTAAGCGGTGATTTTACTGTGGATTGTAGCTGTTCCGTGTCCTGAACCACTTTCTTGTCCGATCCTCAAGCTCTCTCGCTCTCCCCTGTGTGGTCGTCTACTCTGCGTGTTCGTCTACTCTGTGTGGTTGCAGATGCAGTGGGCGGCAGAGGAAGAGCTCTTTGGAGAGAAGATGCTTTCAGGTGAACTCTTGAATTCTGGTGAACTGACAGGGCAAAGCGTTGCTCCTCTGCTGTGCCCCTCTGCTGTGCCCCTCTGCTGTGCCCCTCTGCTGTGCCAGCAATCCCATCTGTCGCCTTCCCCCCTACCCTTCCCCCCTTTCTCCGTCGCACAGACCTGGGCCATCCACCCTCCCCCAGTCCAAAGCAGCCTCCCCCATCTGCCCCCTCTGCCATGATCGATTACACCAGCAATCACAGCAGCAATTTCATCTCTTCCCTTCCTCCCTTCCTTTCTCCCCTCTCCCCCCATCCAGATCTGGCCATCCGCTCTCCCTCTGCTTGGATCGACCCCCACCCCTCTGCCCCCTCTGCTTGCTCGTTCGTACGCAGCAGCAATCACAGCAGCAATCCGTTTTCCACTCCCTACCCTCTCTGTACCCTCCCCCTCTCACCATCCAGATCTGGGCCATCCGCTCTCCCTCTGCTTGGAGCAGCCTCCGCCCCTGTGCCCCCTCTGCTGTGCGCGCACGCAGCACCAGGGCGCACAGCAGGGCGGGCAGGCCGAGGGGAGAGAGAGGTCGGTAGAAGCTGGCAGGGCAGTGCAAGAGTCTGCACCGGCTGTGTTCTGTGTGTCGTGTGGCGAGTTCTTCTGCCACCGCTGCTTTCACGAGGTAAGGATGGGAGAGGCATAGCGATGACTTGGGAGGGAAGCGTCTCGAACGTCGCCTGAGTGGGCGCCTGCTGTGTCATGCGTTTCCTTTGCGGCGTTGAGAGGCAAGGCTGGAGACGACTTGATGATGGTCTCCATGCCCTTCCCCCTGCCCCCATGCCCCATGCCCCCATGCCCCCATGCCCCATGTACCCCATGCCCCCCTGCCCCCATGCCCCCATGCCCCCATGCCCCCCTGCCCCCATGCCCCATGCCCCATGCCCCATGCCCCATGCCCCATGTACCCCATGCCTCCATGCCCAATATTCCTCCATACTCTTATGCCTCATGCCCCATACCCCCATACCCCCATCGTGACAGTTCCACATCACGCCTCGCTTGCAGCAGCATGCCACACACCCCATCGCTTCTTCCCACACGATTCCTCCTGCCGCCCATGCTGACGCACAGAATGGCTACTCCTCTCCACTCAATCAGAACCTGCCACGTGGCAGCACAGACACTGTCCCCACGCCCCCTACCACCACCAGTCACCGCATTGCACCCAGCGGCACCAGCACAACCACAAGTAATACCGAGGAGGACCACTCAATTGGTGTCGGCAGCGCTGGTGCTGTTGCTAGTGCTCCCTCTGCTGCTACCTCTGGTGCTGCTGCTGGTGCTGCCTCTGGTGCTGCTTCTGCTGCGCGCACAGAGAGGAGGAGGCAGAAGGCAGAGGCGAAAGGATTGCGAGAGCGGGCGAGGGAGGGGGAGAGGGAGGAGAGGGAGGGCATGATGCTAGCGGCTCGAGAGGTGAGAGCGGAGGAGAGGAGGGACGAGAGGGAGAGGAGGGGGGAGGAGAGGGAGAGGAGAGGGGAGGAGAGGAGGAGCAAGGAGGGGAGGGGGAAGGGCGGCCTGCTAGGGAGAGATGGGGGTCGCAGGGGGAGCTGGCGTATGGGGGAGGGGGAGAAGGGGGAAGAGGGTTTGTCGGAGGAGGGGGGAAGGGGAGCAGGGTTGTGGGGGGGGGGAGGGGTTGAGAGGGGGGATGGGAGGAGAGCAAGTGGGAGGTGGGTCGCAGGTAAGCGCAGCAGCGCTGCCTTGAACAGCAGAGATTCTCAGGTGGATTTCCAGGTGGAAAATCAGGTGGTTGCAGCAGAGGCCGCAGAGGGCAGGGACGTGCAGAATCGGAGCTCATTCAACTTGTGGTTACATGGTAACCCTGATAAGCTTCTGGAAGCGGATACTCCTCTTGCTGCAGCTGCTACTGCTGGTGCTGCTGCTTCTGCTGCTTCTGTTGCTGCTGCTGCTTCTGCTGCTGCTGCTGCTTCTGCTGCTGCTGCAGCGGCTCCTGCTGATGCTGGTTGTGCTGCTGAATCTGCTGCCGCTGCTGCTCCCAACGATTCCAACATTCCCAGCACTCGACGTGCTGCCTATGCCAGTGATCCCAGTGCGTGTGCCTCTGCCAGCGGAAGTGCACAGGGGGCGAGCCCCATTTGGGAAGGGCAGGCCGGCATGCAGGAGGGGTCAAGTGGAAGGCCAGTGAGGGAGCGGCTAAGGGAGGAGTACGAGGGGCAAGCAGTGGAGCTCTCAGTGGCTCTCGTTGGTGGTATCCTCGCCATCTATAAGGCCGCTGCTAACGCTGATGCTAATGCTAATGCTGCTTCTGCTACTGATGCTGCTGCTGCTGCACCCTCCGCCGCCTTGCACGGAATCCCATCCCCCACACTGACCTCCTCGCTATCCTCACCATCGCTCGCATCGCTGGGTTCCGGAGCATCTCAGCCGTCCGTCTCTGCCCGGCACTCTGACTCCGCCCTGGCTCACATTGACCCTCCCACCCCTCTCTCCACCTCTCACCCTCCCTTGCCTTCTTCCAACATATCCTCTCAGCAGCCGCAGCGGCAGCAGCAGCAGCAGCAGCCAGGCACCCCGTTTGAACGCTCACGCGCCTTCTCCTGGATGGGTCCTAGAGTCTTCTCCCGCTCCGCCACCTCCCCCGCCCTCTCCCACACTCACTCACACACCACTGCTGCCCCACACTCGCCCGCTGCTTCTCTCACCTCCACTCTCTCTGCTGCCGCTACCAATTCCCCCTGGTCCTCTGCTGCCAGTCTTCCTGGCAGCATTGCAAGCTCAGCAGCGGCTGTTGCTGGCGTTGCTCCTGATTTGCCTGAAGATGATGTGTGTGATGGTGACTCAGCACCTGGGGTTGCTGATGTGACTGTAACAAATGGGGAAAATGTGACTGTAACAAATGGGGAAAATGTGACTGTAACGGATGTGCAAGTGGTTCTGGACTATCTGGCATCGGAAGCAGGCACAGCTCATCGACATGAGCTCCAACGGTTCAGGTGAGGAGTCAGGTGCCTTGCAATTGAGTCAGGTGCCTTGCAACGGAGTCAGGTGCCTTGCAACAGAGCCAGGTTCCTTGCAACAGAGTCAGGTGCCATGCATAATTGGCTGATAAGTTGTCTCTTTATGATTGTTTATCTGCGTGGAGGCACACCCCTCAACCTCCCTCAACCCCTCTCCACCCACCCCTTGTCTCAGGATCCTATCAGAGCTGTTGGCAGACGTGCAGCCACAGCAGCTGGGGCACTCGGAGCGACTGGCCTTCTGGATCAACGTGTACAACGCACTAGCCATGCATGTGAGGGCGGTCATAGTGTGTGCATGTAGGATGGGTTATACTGTGCGCATATGGTGCTGTGCATGTAGGATGGGTTATACTGTGCGCATATGGTGCTGTGCATGTAGGATGGGTTATACTGTGCGCATATGGTGCTGTGCATGTAGGATGGGTTATACTGTGCGCATATGGTGCTGTGCATGTAGGATGTGTTATACTGTGCGCATATGGTGCTGTGCGTGTAGGATGGGTTATACTGTGCGCATATGGTGCTGTGCATGTAGGATGGGTTATACTGTGCGCATATGGTGCTGTGCGTGTAGGATGGGTTATACTGTGCGCATATGGTGCTGTGCATGTAGGATGGGTTATACTGTGCGCATATGGTGCTGTGCATGTGAGATGGGGCACACTATGCACTAGAGGGGGGTCTTGTGCATGTGAGCGGGGTCTTGTGCATGGGCTGCTTATGCATGCGAGACGAGTATGGTGTGATCTGCATGTGTGCATATACGATGAGAGGTGCATGTGAGAGGGGGTCATGTGCATGTGCTGCCATGCATGCCGCTCTGCCATTCCTGTGATCAGGCATACCATAGAGTCAACACGTGCATCTGTCGCCATCCCTCCTCCTTTCCGTCCTGCATCACTGCCTCGCCTTCACTTGTCCATCCTCTCGCTTCCTTCGCCCGCACACACGTCCTCGCCTTCACCATCGCTGCTTGTCTCTTCCTCCCCCTCCTTTCCCCCCTTTCCCCCAGGCGTACCTGGTGTATGGCCAGCCACGCAGCCACTACAAGCGAGTCATGTTCATGCACAAGGTTTGACTCCTCTCTCCCCTCCCCTCACCCCCCCCCCTCTCACTCCCCTCCTCTCTCTCCTCTCCCCTTTTCCCTCCCCTCACTCCCCACCCCTTATTCCCCTCCACTCCCCTCCCCTCACATCACTCCCCTTCTTTCCTGCTGTGACACAGCCCCCACGTTTCCCTACTCCTCGCTAAGCTGGTGCCACCCACTCCTAATCTCCCAGTCAACATCCCTCATAACCTGTTTCTGCCTTCCTGCCATCAACCCTTCCTATTCCTCGTCTCCCTCATTCCCCTGCTCTCGCCCTCCTCTCACCAACTCCACCCCCCTTCCTCCATCTCCCCTTCCCCCACCCCCCCAACAACGCCCCCCTGTCCCCACCCATGCAGTCGGCCTAGATCATTGTCGTGCCTTCCCATGCTTGTTCCCCCAGTTCACTCGCCAGCATCTTCCCCTCTCCCTCCCTGCCCCCTCCCCCCTTCCCCCCTCCCCTCCCATTCAACCCACCCCTGCCGCCACCCATGCATGCAGTCGGCCTACATCATTGCTGGCCTGCCCTTCTCCATCCTCGCTATAGAGCACTGCATTTTAAAAGCTGCGTCCTTCCAACCAGCACTGGTAAGTCCCATGATTCTCCCATCTCACCCTCCCCCCTGCCTTGCACCCACATGTATTTCCAGGCCTTCGCTCCCATCACTGTCCCTGCCCCCCTTGCCCCCTCCCCTCCTCCCCCTCCCTTCAAAATCCCACACAAAAAGCTCACACACGCACGAAAGAATCCCACTACCACCCTGCTTTTCCCCCTTTTCCAGGCGGGTCTGCTGCCAGTGCAGCGCTACAGGCGGGGGGACGTGCGTGGCGCTACAGCCTGCCTCTGCACCCTCTTCACACCTCCTTCCCTTTCCCCACCGTCCACCCTCTCAACATTCTCCTCTCAGGCGGGTCTGCTGCCAGTGCAGCGCTACAGGCGGGGGGACGTGCGCTACAGCCTGGCTCTGGACCGGCCCGAGCCTCTCGTCACTTTTGCTCTCAGCTGTGGCTGCGCCTCCGCTCCCCTTGTAAGCCTCGCCTCCCTCTGGCCCTCCTCACTCTCACCCCCCCTCTCCAATTCCCTCCCTCCTCTCCCCTTTTTACATGTGCTGTTCTGCCCTGGCATTTACACATTCGCACATTTCTTGCCACTGTGCTATCACACCCTCACCTTGATCCCCAGTTTCCTGTGCAAATTGCCCTCGACTGTCCGATTATGTTTTTCATCGTTTTTCCATCAACCAATCAGGTCCGAGTGTACCACCCTGACACTGTTCACGAGCAATTGAAAGCAGCTGCCCAGGAATACATTCGGGCAAACGTAAAGCTGCATCCGGGCAGCGGGAAAATTCTTCTTCCCAAGCTCCTGCACTGGTACAGCAAGGATTTTGCAAGAAACGCAGTGGGACTGCTGCAGTGGGCAGCTGAGCAAATGGAAGACAGGCATAAGCATAACATTTTGCAGGCTATGGGTGCTGCTGGAGGTTCCAGGAAGGTTCGGCTGGGAAGGGTTCCTGTGCAGGTTCTCGCATATGATTGGACCTTCCAATATCTGCTAGCGTGACAGCATCTCAATTTTCCTAAAACTCTTCAGACATAACTTATTTGGCATCCATGAAGGCCACCTTAAGGAAATATTTGTTCAAATAGCTGCTTCAAATAGCCATGCGATTACTCTTCCCCATGTCCTAACCTACTAGCAAACACAGCGGTAACAGCCAACCCTCAGCCCATCCCCACATCATTTCCTCTCGCGCTGCTCCCCTCCGTTTCCTTTTCTATCCCCTTCTGTTTGTCATTTTCCTACTATCTCCAGCAACAGATCTCCCACTGAACCTAATCAAGCGTCTCGCCAGTCCCCTTCGACGACAAATTCAGGCCGTCAAGGGGAAATTCTTCGGGAACACGTACGTCCCGTTGACACGCCACGTGGCAGGCAGTATGTTCAGCGCCGTGAGGCTGAACTTCTTGAGCGCACTGACGACATGAAACGAAATTGGTACGCCGATGACTTTCACTCCGCTCGCCGACCAAACTCCGCCGAAATTCCTCGCCATGGGCAGCCACGCTGCGCCGCCCACTTTCATATGCACGGACGCGATTCCGCCCGGCCCCGCGGCGTTCATTATAAGCACCCCGATAAAGTAATCCGTCCCCATGACCGGCTTGAAAACGAGACCGCCTTGTCGTTTGCACGGGATTCGCGCAAGTCGCACGCGAATGTTCCCCGCGACGCGGTTCTTCACAATCTGATCGTACACCCACGGCGACATGATAACTCCTTTTTTCCCGGGCCGGCAGATTCCGGATCGCGGCTGCCCGATGCACTCGCTGGTGGCCGTCACGGCGACGATCTTATCCTGCCGGCACATCTGCGACTTGACGCATTGCAAGGCGTAGCACGCGCCGCATCCCGTGCCGTTCTCGTAGAGCTTGGAGGAAATCGCGATGGTGGGGAGATTGTACGGCCGCACGCCATTAGTCTTGCCGTAACCGCAAGAGCCGCCGTCCTCGCCTTGAATCAAGGAGAGCGTGCCAGTGAACTTGCTGTCCCACACGCCGTACTCCTCGACTGCTACTGCGCGGGTTGCCATAAGGAGAACGAGTAAGAGAGGCGGCAGGGCTAGTGCTGCTAGTCGAGTTCTTCCGCGCGCCATGTCGTGCAGTTTGCGTTCCGTGCAGAGGAGGTAGAAATGTGGCAAGTGTTCTTGAGTTGGAATGGAATATCGCGGATCGGAGAATCGCGGAATGACTGCAGTGATGTGGAATGGTTTGAACGCGGAGGTTGTGGGCCAAACAGAGTGTCAACAAACGTCAAACTAGTAATTAGCCTGGGTCAGGGGTGGGGTCGGGTGGGGTCGGGTGGGGTGACGTTCAAATTGGGGAGGATGGGGATGAAGAGGAGGAGGGAGAGTTGCGGCAAGCCAAGCGAATGCAATGTCGGTGTTATCGTGTCGCGGTGAGGCGGTCAACATTGGTCTGCTATAGCGAAGTGCGATGCTGCGTCAAACGAAGGACGACTCGGCGATCATCGATGCGACGCGTGAGACTTTGCAATGGGCATTCCTTATCACGATCGACGATTCTCCGCATGACACGGCGCCCTGGAAAGGGCGCAAACAAAATGAATCTCAAGAGTGGTTCATTTTAGCTTCGAGGAGTTTCCTGATTAAAGCGACGGTGCACATTTGCCACCCAAAACCCAGAACCCTGGCGAACTGTTACTGCGGATGGAAAGTGTCCCTCGAAATCCTGGTTTTCGCCAGCCAGCACTTTCGCGCTGGCAAGCCTGGTTCAAAAAAAAAACTTCTGAACCCAACACTGCCAAAAGTTGCCCGTCGCTTTAAAACAGACAACAGCTAGCAAATTCATAAATTTTATTCCCACAGGAAAACTGATTGATTCCCTAAAATCGAAGTGAAATGAAAGCAAATTCTTTCTCCATTATTAGTCCGAGTTGAATTTCTCCGGTACAAGCAGCTACTGTCCATTCTGGAATCCGCACCAATTTCGGCAGGAGTTTCACAAATTGCCACGTAGTCCCATTTGCATCACCAGAACCTGAATATCTTCCATTCCATGACTATGGCTGCCTCTGTCACCTCACCGCTACCAGCGTCCGTAATCCCGGCGCGCAATGCTAGCTCATTTCACGGAGAATCGTCTAGAAGCTACCTCCTTAAATCTTTACTCAGTCGTCATGCTAATCTTGCCGCCTTGCGCGGGAATCCGGGCATCAGGAATCGGACGAAACTCGCTTCACCTTACGGCCGCGATTCCGTGCAACCACACGATGAACGGACTTCCCGCGTGCGCGCAGCAGCCTCTGCGGGCAGCGCGGCGGCGGATTCAGCGGAGGCGGAAGAGAGCACAGTGGCGGAAGACATGAAGCAGCGGAGAGGCCTCCGCGGCAAGACCGAGGCTGACGTCATCGTCATCGGTTCCGGGATCGGCGGGCTCTGCTGCGGCAGCCTCCTCGCGCGCTACGGCCGCGACACGCTGGTCCTCGAAAGCCACTACCTCCCGGGCGGCGCGGCGCACGGATTCACGCGAAACGGCTTTTCATTCGACACGGGCCCGTCGCTGTTCTCGGGATTGTCGTCGCGCGGCCCGCAGGCGAACCCGCTCGCGCAGGTTCTCGACGCGTTAGGAGAGACGGTGCCGTGCGCGGCGTACGACAGCTGGATGTGCTACCTGCCTGAAGGGGACTTCCTCTCCCGCATCGGCCCATCTCACTTCATTGAGGTGTGACAATCACTAGCCGTTTCCTTTCCGCACGCACTTCTTGTGCGCAGGTATGCGGAAATCATTGATATCTATTTTGCACGAGAGGTCTGACTGCATAATTTCCCCGCATCGCATGCGATACATACTGTATCAGTAGCACCACCACTGCGCCCAAAGCTGTCTCCCTCTGCCACCATTCTTCCCTGCTCTCTTCTTCCCTCCCTCCTTCCTGTCCCTCCATCCTCCGTCCATCCCCTTCATCCCTGTGCCCCTGTGCCCCTGTGCCCCTGTCTCACAGGTGCTGCAGCAGCGAGTAGGGGAGAGCGCCGTGCAGGACTGGCGAAAGCTTATGGTGAGTCACTTTGCACACAACTGCTAGTGCGCTCGTCGTGTGCTCTAGCTCTTGAGCACTCGTGCAGCTCGTTACTGGCTGCGCCAGTGCGGGCCAATTCGTTTAACATGTCATCTTGCCCACTGGTTCGTTCGCCCATTGCTCCGCCAATCGAGTTGCCTTGCCTATAGCGTGCTGCCTGTGCTTCGTGCCTCCCTCCCTCCTTACCTGCATATGCGTCACGTTCCACCCCCCTCGACCCTCCTTCCTCTCTCTCCCCTTCCCCTCTTCCGCCGTTCTCCCTCTTCCCCCCCTCCCCCCTTCCTCCCTCCCTCTCCCACCGCCCCACGGGCAGTGGTGGAGCCTCTAGGCGGCCCCTCATGGCCCTGCCCGCAGCTGCTCTGTGCGGCACAGCAACCCACCCACTCTCTTGCCCCCTTCCCCCCTCCCCACCTCCCCCCCTCCCTCCTTCTACCCCCTCCCCACGGCCGGCAGTGGAGCCTCTAGCCGGCCCGGCCCCTCCATGGCCCTGCCCTCACTCTTCTCTGTGCAGCACAGCACCCACTCTCTGTGCAGTGCTGGGAGGGGAAGGGGAAGGGGGGAAGTGGAGTGTGCTGTGCTGTGCCCTCGGCTTCTCTGTGCAGCACAGCACCCACTCTGCTCCCTCCTTCCTTCCTCCCACTCTTCCCCCCTTCCCCTTCCCCTCCCAACACGTGACAGTCAGTGGTGGAGCCTCTAGCCGGGCCCTCCATGGCCCTCCCCCCAGCCGCTCTCCGTGCCGACCCTGCCGTGCTGCTCACTGCAGGGCTGAGGTACGGCCCGAGCCTGCTCCGCACGTTCGGCAGCGCCGGGCCTGCAGGTGAGGATTGCAGTGGGACGTCTTTTCTAGTGGATTGACTGTGATGTGTGGGCTGTTCTCCTTTCCAGCTGATGCAGTGGCAGCGGGCTGGGCAGATGAAGCTTTTGGGCAAATGAAGTACAGCTTCTTCTTGCCCACCTTGGACTCACCTCACCTTCCTGTTCTCCTCTTGCCCGACTCTCACTCCCCTCTTCCACGCCTCCCCCGCAGCTGCACTCAACACGTCGAAGCTTTTGGGCTCGTTCTCCTCGCTAGCGGACTCGGTGGGCGTGAAGCACCCGTTTGTGCGCAACTGGACTCACCTCACCTGCCCCCTCTCCTCTTGCCCCATACTCACTCCCCCCTCCTGCACGACTCCCTCCCAGCCGCCCTCAACGCGTCGAAGCTGATGAGCCCGTTCTCATCGCTAGCGGACTCGGTGGGAGTGAAGCACCCCTTCGTGCGCAACTGGATCGACCTGCTCTCCTTCCTGCTCTCGGGACAGAAGGCCGACGCCACCATTGCTGCTGAAGTGGTGAGCTGCTCTCGCATTTTCCTCCGCTTCCGTTGTAATAGTGTTCTTGCCTGCGGTTTCTCCACTTCCACAGTTTCTCTGCCATGGCATCTTCACCTTTCCTCTCTTTGCTTCTCTTAGGCTCCCTGCCCTGCACCTCTGAACACCCTCACCCCCGTATCTCCATATTCCCCCCTATCCTCGCCCAGGTGTACATGTTTGCAGAGTGGTACAAGCCTGGGAGCGTCATGGAGTACCCTCATCCCTAAACGCCTCAGAAGCTATTGTTGGTCCCCTCAATTATGACTTCTTAAGCCACCTAAAACGTTTCTCTCTATCGCCTTCTGCTCCCCCTGCTCTCCCCCAGGTGTACATGTTTGCAGAGTGGTACAAGCCAGGGAGCGTCATGGAGTACCCTCTCGGCGGCCCAGAGGCGATTATCGAGGCGCTTATAAGGGGGATGGAGAAGCACGGCGGGCAGCTCTCCCTGAACTGCCACGTGGACAGCATAGTGGTGGAGGGCGGCCGGGCAGTCGGTGTAAAACTTAAATCCGGGCAGATTGTTCGTGCCCGGACAGCCGTGGTGAGTAATGCATCGGTGTGGGATACCATGCGACTGCTGCCACCTGGGAGTGTACCTGCGGAGTATCGGAAAGAGAGGGAGGCTACACCTGAGTGTGACTCATTCATGCACCTGCACTTGGGGATAAAGAAGGAGAATCTTCCTGCTGACCTGGAGATCCATCACATCGTGGTCAATGATTGGTCCGTGGGCGTCGACGCTCCTCAAAACGTGGTCCTCATCTCCATCCCGACCGTTCTCGACGCCTCGCTGTCGCCACCTGGCACCGTCTCATTGCACGCGTACACTCCGGGGACCGAGCCCGCTTCGCTGTGGCAAGGCCTGGATAGGCGATCGGCTGAATACAAGAAGCTTAAGGAGGAGAGGGCCGAGGTGATGTGGAAAGCAGTGGAAAGGGTACTTGGCCCGGGTTTCTCACGGGATCAATGTGAATTGGCATTGGTTGGCACTCCCTTGACTCATGGGCGGTATTTAAGGAGGCACCGAGGCACTTATGGGCCGGCAATCAAGGCAGGTGTGGGGACGTTTCCAGGTTCGACGACGCCTCTTCCGGGCCTGTTTTGCTGTGGGGATTCGACGTTCCCGGGAATCGGTGTGCCTGCGGTTGCCGCTAGTGGAGTGGTGGCGGCTAACACACTGACCCCTGTGTGGGACCACTGGAAGTTGCTTGATGCTATTGGTATCTGAACTGATCTGAGAGAAGCTTTTTATTTTTAATAAGGTATTAATATATGCTACATAACTAGAGTAAGGATTATTTTGAGAATGTATGAAAATACTATTACCGTGACGTCTTTTGCAAGAAGGAATGATTGCAAAAAGGAGAATCAACTGTTCAGCTTGTGACACAAGCGCCTGGCAGCCGATCACTGGTCGCAAGCAAGTATTTCCAGGGTTGAGCGAAATGCACTATGTCGAATGTGTGCCAACAGTGAATGGCAGCTCACCAATAGCACATTTCGGCGGGACCTCTCTATACAAACAGCCCGCTCAGCGGTTCGCCAGCTGGTCGCAGGAGTTTCTCGCTGTACTGTCTAAAGGGCCGTGACGATGACCCAGGGTCTGAGCGACATCTGAATTTTTTCCTGTGAAGCTCGCTACAGTGTTTGGGCAAACCCTTGGTTTGGTCAAAGTACCCGTGCCGCATGCACACATGCACTTGCGACCGATGGCCAAAGCCCAGGGTTATCGCAAGGGACACTTGCGACAGGACGATACGCCCAGGGTGTGTGCGACAATACGTCCGGTGATCGCACAACCACCCGTCCCTTGTAAATTTGCCCAGGCCAATCGTAGGGCTCACAGCAAGCGATCGTTCTATCCGCACAGCACTTGCTGTGCGAGAACGCCCGCAGTCGCATGGCTCGTTAGATTCATCACACGGCATGCAATTAGGCAAAGCGACAGCTAGCCTTGATTCTAGTCCTGTTGCGTCGCACGCACTATCCCGTCGCAAATGCCATTCGCAAATTCCGATTCCCCCATCAAACCCAACCAGCCCCGTCAGCCGAACACCTTCGTCACCTGTCCATTCCCCAGGGTCTTCCTTTCCTGTCTCTTCCTCCCTGACTTCCTACATTCACATCCACCCTACCCTTCCTTCCAATCTTGCTTCTCAAATCCCCCAGCACGCAAGTTTTTTCTCACCTGCTTGTTCTAGGTTCTCCCTATCCTTCGTGTTACACAGAATCTTGCGAAGCATAGCGCGACGCGCGTTGTATTCTGATTTCGTGTTATCATATTGGCGCCTTATTCCACCGGCGCAGAATACGGTACTCTTAGGGTCACGTGCTGCGAATTGTTTCCGCGTAGCAAAGTCTTCTGCGGGTGCTTTCTGGTTTTAATAGCCAATATGGGCGGTTGACAAAGGCGGTACAGAAATTTGTAGCCCGTTCTCTTTACTAGTGGTGTCGAACTCGTACTCTGAAGGCATGGCGACGTCGACAGAAGACGGCGAAGCGGATTACATGGTTAGCTCCTCAATCGTCAGAACCTTTTGCACAGCCAGTTTCGTTCAGCTACACGATTATGTTGGCTAAACCATTCGCTTTTCGTCTCGTCAACTCATACTGATCTGCCGAAGATGCTTCCATACCCTTTTTTCTTTTATGATCTACTGTTTATGCCGTGCCCGTTTATTTCTCATGTTTTTCGTGAATCGACTGTTGCCTCGAGCGCAGCGGTATCTAGACTCGGAGCAAGCAGTCATGGATTACGACATGTGCGACGAAGACAGCGACGAATGCGACGCGTGCGACTATACCGATGACAGCAGCGACGCGGACAGTCAAGACGGCTCACAGGGAGATTGGGACTGGGACGCGACGCCTCGGCGGGACAGGACGGCCGACGCGCGGCAATATCAAGGAGAAGACGACTCGGACGAGGACAACGACATGGTCCGTCCATCGTCCATTGTCCATTGTCCGTTGCCCGATGTATCATTGTCTCACGTGCCTCTGCCTGCTGTCCTCCTCTCTGTTGCGTATGGCTGTCGCTTTTCTTCCAAACCATCTCAGTTAACTCACCTGCTCCAGCCATATTCCCTTTGAATACGGAGATTATTCTCCAACCTGTCTATGCCCCTGCCCCTGCCCCTGCCCCTGCCCCTGCCCCTGCCCCTGCCCCTGCCCCTGCCCCTGCCCCTGCCCCTGCCCCTGCCCCTGCCCCTGCCCCTCCTCCCGCACCACCTTTCCCCTCCCTCTGGCAGCTGGACGGCGCGGCGGACGTGAGCGCACAACAGGCGGCGCGGGGGCGGGACATTCAGGGCATCCCGTGGGAGCGGCTGCACTTCACGCGCGCCAAGTACCGCGCCATGCGCCTGCAGCAGTACAAGAACTACAAGAACCTCGACGTCCCATTGGACGCTGTCGATAAGGTGCGATTTGGGCGCTGGGGGCGCTGTGGATAAGGTGCGCGCACGTGCTTTAGCTCGTGCTGCGTGCGCCTGCAGCAGTACAAGAACCTCGAAGTCCCCTTAGATGCTGTGGATAAGGTTGGCTTTGGGCGCTGCAGGCGATAAGGTGCGCGTACACACTGGTGCATTTCCAACTGTGCATGTCAAACGGTGCAGCTTCATTGGTGCATTCCTAATCCCGTTCGTTTGCCTTGTCATGTGTAACTGTGTGCTGTGTGTGACTCTGCGCGTGTGACTGTGCGCATGTGAGTGCGCGTGTGATTGTGCGCGTGTGACTCTACGTGTGTGACTGCGTCCTGCGCGCAGGAAGTGAAGCAGGTCAGCACAGACGCGGAGTTCTTCAGTTTCGCCTACAACACGCGCGCCGTCAAGTCCACCATCGTGCACTTCCAGGTACGCCCGCCCAGGTACGCCCGTCCAGGTACGCCCGTCCTGGTGCGCCCGTCCGGGTGCGTCCTTCCCCTTCCAGGCTTGCTGCATGGAAGCTTGCTCGTGACGCGTGCTGCTTGCCATCACAATGCGAATGCATCAACAGCGACGCCACACCTCGTTCCTCATCCCCCCCTTCCTCCTCTGTTCCTCCCCTCCCCCCACTTCCCCCTCCCCGTACCCCCTTCCCCCCCCCCCCCCCAGCTGCGCAACCTAGTGTGGGCGACGTCGAAGCATGACGTGTACACGATGCACGGGCACACCATCGGCCACTACTCCGCGCTCTCCCGCCGCTCCGTTGACTTCCTTGACCTCAGCGGACCCGTCGTGCCCATCTCCCATGTACAGCGAGCATACATGCATGCATGCTCACACGATCAAATGCATCCATACTTCGCCTTTAGTACATTGATGCATGCACCCATGCCCCCTTGCATCGACTTCTCTTTACTTAAGTGAACGCATGGTACCCCGTTTCCCATGGGCAGCGCATCCTTCTTACCATTTTGTGTCACCCACCCACCCCACCTGATCCCGTCCCACCCATTCGTTTTTCTTGCCCTTCGCGAAGCTGTCATATTCTTAGCCGCAGTCATCCTCCCACCCACACCCACCCCCCCCCTCCCTCTTCTTCCAATAGCTTTCCCTCACCCCTCTAACCATCCCCCGTCTCCTCCTTTGTCTCCTCCCCATCCCCACCCCGGGCCCACCCACTTCCACCCCAACCCCCCCTCGCCCTCCCCCTCCCCTCCCCTTTCCCTTCCCCTTCGCCCTCCGCCAGCTACAGCGCGCCCCCTGGCTGTACCACCAGCGCGCCACCACTGCCACACTGCGCCCAGGCGGACCCAGGCTCTATGGGGGCGGTGGGACAGGGGGAACGGGCGGAGCAGGTGGGGGAGTAGCCACTGGCGCGGGGGGAGCAGCAGGGCCGGGGAGAGGGGATGGAGGGGGAGGGGCGGCGGCAGGGGGGAATGGGGCGGATGATGGGACGTGGGAACCAGTGGGTCGGGTGCAGGTGAGCATGCTGTGTGTGCAACAGAATCATGCAGTCTTTTTTCCTCCCTTTTTCTTATTTTCCTTTTTTTTTTTCGAGTCCTCCAACATGGGGTGCATGCATGCCAGGAAGAACACAGTGTCTTCGCAACGGGCTGGTTGCGCCGCCCTTTTTGTTGTGTTCTTACTGATGCAGTAAGAAACAAAAAGGGGAAAAAAAAAACGATTCAAATACTCCAACGTGGGGTGTGTGCGTGCAGGTGAGCACGCTGTGTGTGCGCAACGGGCTGGTGGCAGCGGGGGGCTTCAATGGCGAGATGGTGTGCAAGCAGCTTGAGACGTCTCAAAACACTTCTTTTATTACGTGGGCTGCGGGTGTGTCTGTGTGTGTGTCTGGGTGTGTGCGTGCAGGTGAGCACGCTGTGTGTGCGCAACGGGCTGGTGGCAGCGGGGGGCTTCAACGGCGAGATGGTGTGCAAGCGGCTGGACAGCGGCGCAGAGGGCGGCGTGTCGTATGCTGGGCGGATAACACGCGATGAGAGCGCCATCACCAATGCCGTAGAGATCTTTGAATCCGCCAGGTGGGGGAAGAGGGTGGGGAAAGGGGTGGGAGGGGGTGGATAGTGGGTGGGGGAAGGGGTGGGAGTGGGTGGATTGTGGGTGGGAAGGGGTGGGAGGGTGTGGGGAAAGGGTTGGGGTGGAGAGTGGGGTTTGGGGGTGAGCTTGGTTTGAGGGATAAGGGTGGCACAGGGCAGTGTGGCGTATGCTGGGCGCATTACCAGAGATAAGAGAAGAGTGACACCACAAAAGCATTGATTCTACGAAGAAACTACTTGCATGCCACTGTCCCTCTTCGCTTTCCCCTCCTTTTACCCCCACCAGTGGCACAGTGCGAGTGTTGACACCAACAACGACTGTCTCGTGACGGAGTCACACGCATCCTCCACTTCTTAAACCCCCCCATCCCACCCCCCTTCCCCTTGTGCCCCTGTCCCTCGCCCACCCACCAGCGGAGCAGTGCGAGTGTTGACGTCCAACAACGACTGCCTCGTGAGGGAGTTTGATGCTGACTCGTTTGCCATCATCGCCCGCCACCACCTGCCATGGCCCATCAATGTATGTACGCTGGCCAGATAGGAGTGCATGTTATGCCTTTATCAAGCTCCAGTCTATTCATTTGTTTGCGGCATCCGTCGACCATCTGTCGTTTTCTGCCATTTTTTTTCTCTCCCTTCCCTTTCTCATTCCATTCTCCTCCTCTCCTCCCTCGATCCCCTCGCTCCCGTTGCTCCACTCCCCCAGCACACGTCAGTATCCCCGAACGGCAAGCTGGTGGTGGTGGTGGGGGATGACCCAGAGTGTGTTTGAAAAATATTTCTTCCAACCTATTCCCTGCCCGCTCTGCTCTTTCCCCTCCCCCAGCACACGTCAGTATCCCCGAACGGCAAGCTGGTGGTTGTGGTGGGGGATGATCCAGACGCCTTCCTCATGGACGCCACGTCTGGCCGGGTAAGTTCTCGCTTATCGTTACATTTATAGAGGGGGCGGGAGGGGATAAGGTGGGTGGAGGTACATGTTCTTATGATTACGAGGGCTGTTTCCGTTCTCACGTGATTCTCTAACTTCGTTGCTCCCTAGTCGCTTCACCATAATTCTTCCCTCCCTCTCCCACACCTTGGCTCTCCCAACAATCCTCCCCCCTCCCCACTACCCACAACCCCAGGTGGTGGCGCCTCTGAGCGGCCATGTGGACTACTCCTTTGCATCGGCGTGGCACCCCAACGGCCTCACATTCGCCACGGGCAATCAGGACACCACCTGCCGTGTCTGGGACCTGCGCTGCCTCTCCCGCTCCCTTGCCACGCTCAAAGGCCGCATGGGCGCGATCCGGTCCGTCCGTTTCTCATCCGACGGCCGGTTTTTGGCCGTAGCAGAACCGGCGGATTTTGTGCATGTGTATGATGTGAAAGGGGAGTATGAGAGGAGCCAGGAGATCGATCTGTTTGGGGAGATTGCGGGGGTGTCGTTCTCTCCGGATTCGGAGGCGCTGTTTGTGGGTGTGGCGGATCGCACGTATAGCAGTTTGTTGGAGTTCAATCGGGCACGGTGTTGTGACTACATCGATGCCACCGTGTGAATAACGGTTTGCGGTTTGGGCTCGGGCTGGGATGGGTGCGTCGCATTTGATTTGTATACAGTATAGTGCTGGTTAGATGAGTTGGTGGGTAAAGAATGGGTGTTGGTAGATGTTTAGGGGGTTGGTTTCTACCCATATGACCTAGGGATGTGGTACCATGCTAGGGATGATAGGGATAGCTGAATAGGCACTCCTTGTGCCATCATTCTGATGCTTTGTTTCTTCAATAATGTGAAGGTTCAATATTGACTAGCTGTAGCAAAATTGCTGTTGACTACACGTGATATTGGACGCGAGCCAGCCTCTGACGCGTACGGTTTTCCACATTTCGCCCCACATCAAATTTGGTTCAATATTCGGCCCACTCGCCACCATGCCCACCACACGGTCGTGGGGACACTCCCTCTCGGGGGGCGCGCCTCCGGCACAAGCGCGCATCCGCGGGGGAAACTGCGCTGCTTCCGCCAACTTTCGTGCGTCCGCCGCTTCGACCTGCCGCAGAAAGGTCAGACATGGGCGATAGATGCAGAGAGGCTCGATAAGGAGGGTAGAGAAAGAAACCACGGCAGCCATACGAATGTGAAAGTGGGGGCGGAGTGGCGATTTAGCACCGGGCAGCCCCCGCAGAGTGCATCAAGAGTGGCGCGCTTGATTTATCCTTGCGCGGAAATGCACTGGCCTCCAACGCGTTTGGCGTTGAACGTTTCAAGAACCCCAAACCTTGCTACCCCAAAACCCTGTCCCCCCTGAACATGAAGTGATTTTGCATTCCTGCTGCTGCCTCTGCCCGCCTGCCCGCCCCCCTCCACCAGCCGCACGTTCCGCGCGTTTGAACGGTGGATGCGCGACGAGGCCAAGATCCAATGGTCAGAAAAGCTCGTTTTCCTCCTCACCTGCCCTCCCCCTCCCCCGCGCAACCTCCGCCACGGCGCACGCGCCCGTCACTCCCGCGCCTCTCCTTCCGTCTCCCCCGGTCCCTCCGCCTGCCCCCCGCCTGGTCCGCTCCCCGTGGGGGTGTTTGCACGCGCGCCCCTCCCCCTTGGCGCATCCGTTGCGACCATCCCCAAGTCCGCCTGCCTGACTCCGCGCACCTCCCGAATTGCGCCCTACCTCTCCGCCTCCCCGTTCTTTCAAGCAGAGGGGGAGGCGGAAGGGGAAGGGGAAGGGTCAGAGGCGGGGCAAGGGGAGGCGGATGAGGATGGGGAGGGGGAGGAAGAGGAGGGGGGATCAGGGGGTGAGAATCAGAGCGCGGGGTAAAGGGGCAGGCAAGGAGATGCGGAGAGCCAGGCGGAAGGGCGTGGGGGCGGGGGGAGCGCAGGGGAGGGGAACGTGGATGCGGGGAGTGAGGGGAACGGGAATGGGGAGGGGGAAGGGGAGGGGGGGGGGGGAGGGGGAGGAGGAATCAAAAGAAGGCGGAAGGGTGGGTGGGGAGGGCCAGGGGGAGTTGAGCAGTGCAGCGTTGGTGGCAGCAGTGCTCTTTGAGAGGGCTCTGGGGGCGAGATCCCGGTGGGCGGCGTATTTTGGACAGATGCCGGAGAGAGAAGACGTGCCGGTGCTGTGGGGGAAGCGGAAAGCGAAGGAGCTACTAAAGGGTACAGAAATCGAGCAGGTACTGGCAGGCAATGATACCACCTCGCCTTGCAGCTCGAAACCATTTCCCTCCCTCTCTCTGTTCCTCCCCCCTGTCTTTCCCCTTCCCCCATTTACCCCTCTGCCTCCCCTCCTATCCGTTTCTCTCTCTCTCTCTCTCTCTCTCTCTCTCTCTCTCTCTCTCTCTCTCTCTCTCTCTCTCACCAGCACAGCTTCACGTGTACCCCTTGTCACCTCATCCCGCCTCTATCTAACCCCGCCCCCCCTCCCCCACAACACAGGCCGTCCCCAGTGACCTAGCAGGCATGCGAGGGGAGTGAAAGCACCACATTCTGCCCTTCCTGCACTTGAGGTGACTTGTGAGTCTATTAGAAACTGTCATTCACCTCCCACCCCCCTCTACCCCCCCCCACAACACAGGCCGTCCCCGGTGACCTAGCAGGCATGCGAGGGGAGTGGAAGCACCAGATTCTGCCCTTCCTCCTCTCCCTGCCGCCCCACTTCCTCCACCTCGTCCCACCAAACCTGCCAAATGGCCCCAATAGTCAACACCCACACGAGAAGACGCTACCAGAGCCGCTGACGTCAACCAATCAGCAGCTGCCAGATCAGCTGTCATGGGACGCCTACCTGGTGGTCAAGTCGCTCATCTCCTCGCGAGCCTTCGCCATCGACAGCTGGCATGGGCACGGCATGGTGCCCCTGGCTGACCTGTAAGTGCCGGATAGGCTGATACCATGCCGGCATGTAGCCTATCGTGTGTTGCTTGACTTACCATGCCGGCACTTAACTTGACTTAGTGTGTACCTTGAATCAGCATATACGGTTACTAGGGACGTGTATCCACTATGCCCCATCTTTCACCCCTAACCCCTCCTTCTGGCACCCTCCCGGTCCCACCTCCCGGCTTCCTCTGCAGGTTCAACCATCGCACAGCAAGCGAGTCAGTGCACTTCACAATCAACGACGAGGAGAGTGATGCTGAGGGCAGTGATGCTGAGGGCAGTGATGCTGAGGGCAGTGATGCTGAGGGCAGTGATGCTGAGGGCAGTGATGCTGAGGGCAGTGATGCTGAGGGCAGTGATGCTGAGGGCAGTGATGCTGAGGGCAGTGATGCTGAGGGCAGTGATACTGAGGGCAGTGACCCAGACCATGAGGAGGAGGATGGTGAGATCCGAAGCGAGAAGAGGAAGGATGGAGACAAGGAGACGAACGGGGAGAGAGGGAGCGGGAAACACGAGAGGGAGGATAGTTCACCTGAGAAGGAAGGCCAAAGGGAGAAGCCAAGCGAGCAGCTGGAAATGATCATGGTGCGGGAGGAGGGACCTGGGGACGAGGTATTTAACACCTACGGCCAGCTCAGCACCGCAGCTCTTCTGCTCCGGTACGGCTTCACCGAGCCTCTCAGCTTCGGTGGCGCCGGACCTAAGGGTGGGGAGGAGGAGCTGCCAGTCAGGCTCGGCAAGGGTGTACCATGGGGTGGAGAAGAGGAGCAGTTGGAGTGTATATGCAATCTACAGTACAACCCATTTGATCTGGTTAATGTGGACCTGAACGTAATTATAAAGGGGCTCAGTCTTGACCAATCACAGGCCAGTAGGAGAGGAGGGAGAGCAAGCCAAGGAGAGCGTTTCGCAAAAACAGGGCGAGAATCCAGCCAATCACATCGCAGGGGTTCAGGAACTTCCCGGGCGGCAAAGATTGCTCGTGACGATCCTACCTGCCCTTCCACTTGCTCCTCCCGGCGTTTGCGGTGGGCTGTGAAGTTGTTAGAGAGGGCTGGGTGCCCCCCGTTAGAGTCACAAGGGGAGAGATATTTCGAAATATCTGCTGACGGGCGGCCGCAGCTGGAGCTGCTGCTGCTGCTGAGGTTGGCGGGGTTGGGTGACGTGGCAGCTGCCAGGGTGGACGCCAGCGTGGCAGAGAGGGAGGCTGACGTGGATTGGGCCGAGATGGGGGCTGCTGAGCTGGCAGGGATGGTGGAGGAGTGGGTGGAGGGGATGGGGGAGAGGGAGGGGAAAGTTGGGCGAGCCGAGAGTGGGGGAGGGAAAGAGAAGGAGGGGCAGGATGGTAGCGGAAAGAATATTCAGGGGAGAAAGAGGAGGGAAGGAGAGGAGAGGAGGCGTGATGGTGAGGTGTCAGCGAGAGGAGATGAAGGGGAGGTTGAGTTGGGTTCGGATGGGTCAAGTGAGGGGAGGAAGGGAAGGAAGAGAAGAAGAGGGGGGAAGGAGAGAAGGGACAGTGGTGGTGGGAAGCATGGTTCGAGAACAGAGTGCCAGGAGGAGCGAGAGATGGTGGGAGTGGAGAGGGAGGAAGAGAATGGGGATGAGGAGGAGGATGGGGCGGAGAGAGGAGAGGAAAATGGAGAGGAGGAGGGAGAGGGGGATCGAGAGGGAAGTGGAGAGGAGGGTGAGGAGGAGGGAGAGGAGGAGAGCAACGAAGAAGAGGTGGCAGCATCCCGTCGGCTACTTGAGCTACCAACTGTGCGAGCCCTACTCGGAACAGTGCTGCGAGCACGTGATATCATGAATGGGGATTTGAATAGGGCTGAGATGTACGGGGGGGCGCGTGATGTGGTGGCGAGTAGCAGAGCGGTGAAGGGCGCGTGGACAGTGGTGGATGAGTTGAGGGCTGCACGGGCGATGGAGATGGAGGAGAGTGTGATGGGGGGGTGGGGATGGGAGAGGGAGGAGAGTGTGATGGGAGGGTGGGGGTGGGAGAGGGAGGAGACGGAGAGGAGGGAGGGGAGGCAGAGTGAGGGCAGGGAGCAGCGGAGGGAGTGGTGGCGATTGCTGCATGCGAGGCGGTTGAGAGTGGCTGAGAGGGGTGTGTTGATGCTGTGCAGAGCGGTGTGGCTGGGTGAGCGGTGCTTGTGTGGGAGGGAGTGGGAAGTAGAGGAGGCGTGCAGATTGTGAGTCCAAGCATTGGCAGCAGCTGATGCCATATGTTTCACTCTTCTTGACAACTTATGGTACCGTACGTTGCTCCATGTCAACTTATGACAATGTAACAAGATGTTTCACAACATAATCGAAAGAGCATATGATTTTGATTAGGACACAATGAAATTAGAACATAAAACACACAAAACGGGTAGGATTAAAATGAGAGAATGGAGTTAGAGAATTAGGAATTAGATCATCCACCAATCATTGTCGGGTTCAAATCATTTGCAACTTGGGAATGTTGCAATATCGAACCACCTTTTAAGAAGGCCTCGTCGTTGCACCCACCACCTGCTTGGCACCTGGGAAGAGAAGCCGTGGCACGGGCAGCAGGCAAAAGTTTCCGTTCAGCCCGCAGCATTACAACCTCCCCAGCAGCTGCTTCTAGGACAGCACTCCGCATCCTCGAGAGAGCAGCATTCAGACTGTTAACAGATCGCCCATGAGTGGCGATGCTATGGCCACTACTGGCATCACCACCACCACCACAACCACCACCACCTCCACTAGCCAAATGACCACTGGTTTCCCCAGCATGGCCAGTGGTGTCACCAGCACGGTAATAACTGACGGCAGCACGACCGGTAGAAGCCTCGCTGGCGGCAGCAGCAGAACCAGTGACAGCAGCAGCAGAACCAGTGACAGCAGCAGCAGAACCAGTGACAGCAGCAGCAGAACCAGTGACAGCAGCGACAGCGAGGGTTCGTCTGGCAGCAGAACCTGGAGCAGTGGTGCTGCCCTCACTGCTTCCTCTCGTGGCATGGTTGGTGGTGTCAAAAGAAGAGCCTGTGACAGCAGCCACAGTGAGTGCTCGCCTGACTGCTGACCCAGGACTAGTGGTGTCACCCTCACTGCTTCCCCTGCTGGCATCACCACCCCTGTCAGCAGAAGCATGGCCGGTAACAGCATTACCTGTGGCAGCAGCACAGCCAGTGACAGCAGCGACAGTGAGTGCTCGCCTGGCAGCGGATCCGGGAGCCGGCCGTATTCCCTCAGGTGACCCCATGGCCTTGCCTGCTCTCCACGCCCGCACTGGTGGTGCTGCTCCCCTCATTGCTTCCCCTGGCCTCATTGACCTTGCTGCCTTACGCTGCCTGGCTGGCCGTATTGGGTTGATTGGCCTGTCAGGATCATTTATTCGCCTTAAGGGATGGATCTGCCCCAGTGCTCCCGCTGGTTTTGCTGCTCCCGGTGGTCGTGTGGGCCTGGGAGGAAGGCCGTAGCGCAGTGAGTTATGCAGGGCGGAAGGTGGGTGAATAGGTGCTGCCCCTGCAGCAGCACGAGTAGTGGCAGGGGGAGCCGCAGCAGTAGAGTTAGCTCCAGGATTATCAGCAGCAGCAACAGCAGCAGAAGCAGCACTACCAGCAGCAGCAGCAGCAGCAGCACCAGCAGCATGGCCAAGCCCATTTCCTATCTGACTGCTGCCAAGAGCCTCCTGCCACAGGTCTGCCACGTCACAGTCCACGTAGAGATCACGCCAGCTCAGCGCATCCATGGCATGCCACGTCATCCCACCAGGCTTGGCAAGATACGCACAGTCTGGCTGCACGCTGTGCGGTCCGGCCTGCTGTCTATTCCCCATCTCCTCCACCCCTTCAGTCAACTGCAACTGGTCTTCAAACCGCCCCTCCCCCTCCCTACTCGGCGCCTCCTCCTGTTCGGCCCGCCTTGCCACGGCCTCTGCAATCAGCCGCAGCTGCTCTCGAATCCTCCCCTCATCTAAAACACTCACAGCAGCAGGGCTCGGCGCGCTCACAGCAGGGCTCGGCGCGCTCACACCAGTTCTCGGCGCGCTCACAGCAGGGCTCGGCGCGCTCACAGCACCCACTCGCTTTTCATCGTCTCCCTGCGCCACATCTGCTGCCGCTCTGCTCTCTTTCACCTCCGCTGCCATTCCCTCCCTCCCTCGCTCCACATCATCTGTCGGCTCTGCCGGCTCTTTCCTTTCTGCCCTCTCTGCCCGCTCTGCCCGCTCTGCCCGCTCTTTCCTTTCTGCCCGCTCTGCCCTTTCTGCCCGCTCTCCTTGCTCAGCCCGCTCCGATTGTGCAGCCACTTCGTGCGTCTGTCTCCTTACCCCCTTCCCGTCCGGTGGTTCTTCATCCCTGCCCTCCTCCTGCCCCTCTGTCTCGCACTTCGACCGCGCCCCATCGCACAGCACCATTCCCTTGTGCACCAGCACGGGCGGCAACAGGCCGGAAGGCGCCACACCCGGGCTGCCTTCCCCAGTCTCTGAACCTTCTCTGCCCGCTCGAAGTGTTGCTCCCTCTGCCGTGCTCCTCCGCGCCATTCGCCCCAGCGCTGCACCCCTCGACACCCGCGCAGCATCCTTCCGCCCTCCCGCCGCGCCTCTCGTCGGCAGTTTCCCACCTGCACTTCTCGAAACCTTTCTGCGAAATACGGGGGTTGCGAAGCAAGTTACCCTAACGGCGACAGGCCTGCACGTGACGACGTCGCCATCCTCCTCATCCTCGTCGCCAACGTCGCACGCCCGTCCTCCTGGTTCCCTTGCCCTTCCCCTCCAGCCTTTCGCCGCCTCGCCCCCCTCCATCATAGGGTCCCATTCCCCCGGCGCTGCTCCAATCACCCCTCCGTGAAATCCGTCGACCGGCATCGCAAGAACCACGTCATCATCCTCGTCCCCATCCTCCCCTTCTTCCCCATCACCACCACCATCACCATCACCATCACCATCACCATCACCATCACCATCACCATCATCCTGTTCTCCTTCCCCCTCCCCACCCACCTCCGCCTTCGTCGTTCTCACCAGCCCCACCGCCCTCCCCCCTGCGCAACTCGGGGTTCTATACGTGCCCGAGCGTATCTGGCGCGTGGCGCACGTGGTTTTCACCGCCGGCCGGCACTGAGTGACGGCTGCGGCGGAGTTTAGCACGCGCAGGCGGCTAGACGGCATAATATCGGATCTTGTAGTCTGAGCGGTGCGTTCGTCCTCATTTGCCTGGCGGTGAAGGCCGGCCGCGCCGCTGCTCTCGTTTCTGCCACTGCAAGTAGCATTTTCACGTGTTATTGTGACAATAGTATTCCCTTCGCTCTGCGCTCTTTCCGCGGGGGCGGAACCAGCAGGGCTCAGACGACGGTTCCCCCACGTACTACTAGCAGCAGAAGCGGAATGACTGGGGCGGCCAGGGGCGGAGCTTGCGCGCAGAACGTTGACAGGCGGGGGAGTCGGCGCAGCAGCTTCCGTGGTGGCGCAGATTCTAAGAGTTGCATTGGTGGGCGCGCAATGGCCTCCCCCGTTCCCCGTCAGCTGGTATCGGCGGAACCCCGCGCTACCAGATCGCAAGTCGGACTGACTAGCCGCGTTTCCCGCTTCGACACGCCGCTGCCGGTGCCGCTGCACGTACTGTGACACATCCACGTCCGCAAAAACCGGCAATCGTCGCGCATTAGGAGCTAGTAGCGCACTAGAAGTCAGCGACGCGGCTTTAAGTACGGCATCATGAGCGTCCTTCCCCGCTACGTGAGGGGACTGCACGCTACTACCGCGCATCGTCAATTCGTTGGGACGGGAATACCATACGCGATCCTCTGGACCTCGCCAGTCGCCATTTACGGGCGCTGCGGCACCGGCCAGCCGATCATGGATAGTCCCGGCGACGACGCGGGGAGCTTCATCACCGTGATTTGTGGTGAAGCGATCCGTGGCGATGCGGCGGGAAAATAGTAGAAACGGTGACTCGGGAAACCTTGCGTCGCTTCTAACCAGCGCGGCCTGCCATTTATCCATCGCGGCATATCGAAGAACTTCCCTCTCGCTGCCATTTGCACCTTCATCGTACCTACTAGCACCAGCGGGTGCCGCGGAACGCAGGGGCGCTACCCTCGCCCCCCCATTCATCGTGCGCCTAAGCTATGGCACTCCGTGTTTACTTCTCGCAATCGATCTTACTCTGAGCATGACAGCTCGCGCTCTTGCAAGAACCGAAGACATTTTTGCTTCTTGCTGTCTATGGAGACAGCTGCCGTTTACACTCCTGTGACTAATCGTGTTATTGAGCCTAAGCAGAGTGATCCTGGACGAGAGGAGAGCGTACAGTCAAATTAGGTGAAATGCCATTTGGCGTTAGCAATGCAAAGTTAGTTCGCGTCGCATTTCGTCTACAATAAGAAACCTTTTCTAATTGGATGCAAATTGCAGCGGCTTCGCTACAGTGGAAAGGACGCGTCGCGATCACTTTGGCCTCCTTAGATTGAATCCAAACCGTTCCTGCGTTTCGCAATCTCACCCAAGGACGGGCCGCGTCTCGTTCCACTGTAGATATATGTCAAGAGGGGCTCTTGGCATCTCATTTTGTTTCGGCACGTTCAAACCACGACCTTTTCTTACTCTTCGTGTTCCCTTTCCGTACAGGCATCCGTTATAGGTTGTTCCACACACGTAAAGATTAGGCAACACCAAACTCCATAAGCAGTAACTAATTAAGCTTGTAGGAGAGTATCGTTGTTTATTTTTCCCATCTACACTAGGGAATTTGCTCTTGCTCATGCGCGGTCCGCTCTTTTCCCCATATTTCGCCAACGTGCCAACACATCTTGTCGCATCTGCAGTTTCAAGGTGCGCAAACATTTGGGTGCGGAAACCGCGCCTTCGCAACTCAATATTTCGCTCGCATCCTCGATTTCCAGCTTCCCCCGATTCCATAAGGATCGCATCGTCAGTCGCGATCGATGTGCGGATCGGTTACCCTATTTTCTACGTTGTAACCATGCTACAGTACGCTTTTTGGCCCAATTTTTTGGACAGTGTGTGAATGCGACTGATCACAAATCGCGGGAGATCTATCAAATTTCAGTGGCGATCGTTACAACGTCGCGATCGCCATGTTTCGTCAATCGATCTGCCCAATCGATTGCGGGGATCGATATGTGCAGACGATCCTGCGATATTTTCACTTTTACCGCGTCCTAACACCGAGGCCAAGCCATGGAAGATTGGCTCGAGCTAGTAGCCCCCAGGGATCATCCTTCCACCATTGGAGGTATATGAAGCGACATTATTGCACTTCCATTCCACACAACCTTCTACGTAGGAGCAAATCGATTAGTCCCTCACGCTCACAACCAGTCTACACATCCGAACAGGAGTATTCTACTCGCGATTCATTCCACGTTTCCCAGTCAGGCTGAGCCCTAAATCGAGCCTCACTTCAGCTTCGTCTCCGCGGCCCTCCCACGCGGACCCAGCGTTGAGTTTCGGACCTGGCAGAAGCCGCGCCGCAGAGGGCGTCTTGAAGGGCGAACCTGTGTTGCTAGCCGCTGCCGCGAAATGCGGGCTTCGTGCGACCACCGCAGGCCAATCTTCTCCCTCGATATGCGATCTGAACAGCCACGAAGGGGATGGTTGGGCAGGCGGAGCGTCAGTAGCGTCACGAGTCCTGCAGACGTTAATACAATAAACAAATAAGAGATGGTGCGGAAAAAAAGAAACTTACAACGACCACCAAACATGACTACACGAATGACCTACGCGGTCTCCAACGAGAAATTGAGGTTGCGGGAAATCTCACCGCGGAAGCCTGTTGAGCTCTTGTAATCCAGAGGATGGAAGACATGAATCGAACCGAGGGCCCATTCGCGCGTGTGGCGCGGCCGTCACGACGCCCGCCGTGAATCGCGCGTCTGGCGCGGCGTCGACCACGCCGGTGAGAATGTCCAGGTTATGCGTCTCCGCACCCGCTCCCAACGGCGAAATTGGAACATGATCCACTCCCGACGGACACATTCGAGCAACCGCTCCCAATGGCGACATTTGAGAATCCAATCCCTGTGCTCGCACTCGCGCATCGCCGCCCACTGGCGACATTCGTGAGTCTCCGCCAGATGCGGCAGCGCGGATGACGGGCTCAGGCCCCTCTCTAGCCGCCGCAGCCGTCGGGTCTGACGGGGCGGGGAGCAACGCGACTGCATCTTGCTGGTCTGCAGCAGATATCCCCGACTGGGCCGCCGTCAACTGTTCCGTCAGCAAACGGATTCCGTCAAGTCCGCTTACTCTGGCCAAGGCGAGGAGAGAAGCCTCGAGCAGGCGCTGGCTGGCGCCGGGACTCGCTGGGATTGGCTGACCTAGTCGCGACGAATTGTTAGTAGTACTAGCAGCAATGGCGGAATGAGTGGAATTAGCATCCCACAAGCTGGGAGGAGCAACGACCCTGCTCTCCGCCGGCCCTGCTAGCGCCGCACTCGCGCTACCACTGCCCGCAGCGACACCATTAGAAGAACGAGCAAACGCGCTTGGAGCGAAAGGAGCGTCGCGACCAAGAAAGACTGGGGGGCTCAGGGTGCTGCCAGCAGTGCCATTGGAAGCATTAACGTGGCTTATTTCGCGGTCATGGAACGAAAAGTTCTCGCCTGTTTCGCGGGGTTGCGCCACGCCTGTCACTCCGTCGTGCGCTGCTACTCGCTGAGCCGCGAAGCTCGTTCCGTGCAAGCGCGCTGCGAGGGAGGTAAGGGCGGACGGGAGCAGGCCTTGCGTGCTCGGCGCACTGTGGCGCGCTAGTGACTCTGTGTTCTGCGCGGGACTTGGCACGACTCGAAACCCCGTTCCCGAGTCCGAACCCTTTCGCTGCTGTTGTCGCGGGAGCGTCAGCGGCGGCTGCTGCTGCTGCTGCTGCCGCAAAAAATCTTCCCCAACAGAAAATCCGAAATTTCCGCGTGGAATAATCTCGTCGTTCGATTTTTCTCGTGAGAGAGTAACGGCGGCATCATCGGCTCGCGTTCGCTTCCTCTCCGCCATCCTAATATCCGTGCAATCGCAGTCGTTGGGTGGGCCCTCCGCGCGTTTTCCGCTGGGCTCCACGACGTGCCGCTGCGCTGCAGTTTGCGCCGCCAGTTGCGATGCCGAACTCAACGCGGCTTGGATAGCCGGGCTCGCTCGAGTCAGCAGCCACTGCACAGGGAAAAGGGGATAACGGAGAGGAACTAATATATTCTTGCTGTGATAGCATGATTTGCCCGGCATTAAACAAGAGCGCCGGTTGGAAGAACATAACATGTTAAAGCTCGCGTCTCATATTTCTGTGTCCCAACCAAGTGTTAAACGCTTGGTATCCGGTAACCCTCAAACTGTCGCACAACTCCACTGAAGGTTGGCCCAGGTTGAAACGATTGGTTGGGAACCCAAACTTGCTTGGCGGTATGCGCAGGGACGTGCCAAACCAATCATGCGATCGTGCACCCAGGTAGGTTTGGAAAACACACCTGCACGGGGACAACACGATCGCCCAAACTCCCCCACCGGCGACCAGGTTGTCGCACGAATCAAGCATTTACAACAGCTGAAAAATATGAGACTGACAGAACTCAGAAACCCGATTTCGCACTAGCACTAGGCTCAGGTTCAAGAGTAAAACTCTTTCCACTAGCAACCGCGGTTACCTCTTACACAAAAGTTAGATTCTCGTTGATCAGCATATACGGCCGACCTATAAACTTGAAATTAGGTCTTCATTTATCAGTATCAGCGGCGACCAGGGTACATCCCGTGCTTATCGTGAACCATGTCCAGGTAATGAGGCGCGCCAGGTAAGGGACGCGATGGGGCAGGACGGGACAGTACGGGAAGCGACGGGACTGGACAGGACTGGACGGGAAGGGACTAGAGGGACGGGACGGGACGGCACAGGAAGGTAAGAATCTCGACGAGGGGCCGGGAGGGGACGTGACGGGAAGGCGGGATGCGACGAGACCGGACGCAAATGGAAGGGAGGGAAGAGGAGCACGCGGAAGGGGCGGGATGCGACGGTACGGGGCGGAAACGGGAGGGACGGGAGGGGACGCGACGAGGGGGCGTGCATGCAGGGGGTCATGCATGAATGCAGGTCCTTGGCGTAGCAGGGTGAAGAGCACATCGTGTAATACAGCACAGCACAAGAACAGCGCACAGTGCAGCAGCGCCTGGACGAGTGGGGCGATTGCGAGCGCAAGTGCAGCCAGTGGCGCGAAGCCGCCAAACATGTCCCAAAACTCGGTCGTCCAGCTTGCCGTCGACTGGTTGCAGGGGGGATGGGGGCCGAGCGGGGGAGTGGGAGAGGGAGCGAAGCAGGAGCAAGTAGGGAGCGGAGGAGCGGAGAAAGGAGGGGAAGGGCGGGAGAGAGGCGGCGGAAGAGGGAGAGAAAGGAGCGGGAGGAGAGCGGGGGAGAGGCGGGTTGGAGTGGAGGCGGGGAGAAGGAGCAGGGGGGGGAGGGGAGGGGGTAGGTGGGATGTGGAGGGGAGGAAATGGGAGGGGAGGTGAGTGGAGACAGGAAATGCGCTCCTGCTTGCCGGCGTTCATCCTCCCTATCTCCGTTCTCTCCTCCCCAACCCCTTTTCCTTTCCCCCACCCCCCTTGCCTTTCCACTCATTCTCCCTGCCGCCCTGATTAGGTGCGAACGACGGGTTGCGATAAATCCCGCCATTCCCCCTTCTGCTCCCCATCAATTCCCGCTCTGCTTTTCCATCAATTTCCCCTCTGCTCTCTATTTCCCCCCCTGCTTCTCCTCCGTTCCCCCCCTGCTTCCCCCCATCCCCTTCCCTGCTTCCCCCCATCCCCTTCCCTGCTTCCCCCCATCCCCTTCCCTGCTTCCCCCCATCCCCTTCCCTGCTCCCCCCCATCCCCTTCCCTGCTTCCCCCCATCCCCTTTCCTGCTTCCCCCCATCCCCTTTCCTTCTTCCCCCCATCCCCTTTCCTGCTTCCCCCCATCCCCTTTCCTGCTTCCCCCCATCCCCTCAGCCCTCCTTCCCCCCACCCTCTGCCCTGTTCCACCCTGCCCTCCCCATCCCTGCCTTTCCCTCCCTGCCCTGCGCTTCCCTTCCCCATCCCTTATCAACCCTTCCCTTCCTTTTCATGCCCTCCCCTTCCCCTTCACACCTCACCCGCCCACTACTGTAGTTCCCATGCATGTGCACCCATCACTGTCTCCCCACATGCTTTCATCATGTGCGCTTGCTTGTGTTCCCTTGCAGTTGTTCCTTTGGCACCTCACACCACCTCCCCCATGTTCCTTCACACAATTATTCCTGCCTACTCCACTCCCTGTATTTTCAGTGGTGAAGCAGAGGAGCAAGCTGAGGCGCAGCTAAAGCTAGTCCACGCTCTATACCGTACCACCACCTGTTTTTCTTGTGTGTTGTACGCAAGCATGATACTGTATTAGTGTAGGAGATATCCATATCAAAGGCACAATATGTACTTTTCTTTCTGCAGTGCAAGATATTCTTCCAAGATGTATGGACACTGAGAGTGTCAGAAGGATAGAGGCATGTCCCTAATACTGGCATGTTCCTATACTGGCTTGTAGCTTGTAGCTTTGCGTATGCATTACAGGTTGTATGACACCTGGTGTCGCAATGGTGCCTCAAATCCATGAGAAGGCAGGGATGTGTGATGGAAAGGCAGGGAGATGGGTAGTAAGTGAGGGGAGATTTGAAGGGACGGAGGGTGAAAAGGGAATACAAGCGAGTAAACATGAGTTAATAAGATGCATGTATGGGGCAAAAGTGATGGCAGCACATGCACATGAACTGGAGGGCAGAAGGCGAGGAGTGACGTAGAAGGGCGGGGTCGAGAAGGGAAGGGCAGGGAGGAAAGGGCAGGGATGGGGATGAAGGGGAGGGGAGGAAGGGGAGGGAATGATGGGGAGAGAAGGAAGGGAAGGGGAGGAAGTGGAGGGAAGGAAGGGAAAAGGGGGGAGGGGAGATTGGTTACAGGAAGGAAGGGACGGCGGTGAGGATTGCGAGAGTGAGAATGGCAGGAAGAGTGTGAGAGGGCAGACGGGCCTTGTGATGTGGCCCACAAGAGATGAGAAGGAAAACGAGATGGTGGGAGGCATGAAGGAGATAAGGAGAGAAGCAAGGAAGGCAGGGAGAGGTGGTGGGAGGCATGAAGGAGAGATGGAAAAGGGGAAGCGGGATTGGAAAAAGGGGTGAATGAAAAGTGAGAATTCGGTAAGAAGGTGAGTGACGGGGGAAACAGAGTGGGCAGAGGGGAGAAAGGGTGAGTGTGGGGGAAAGAGAGTGAGCAGAGGGGAAAACGCGTGAGTGAGGGGTGAAAGAGAGTGAGCAGAGGGGAAACGGGTGCATAAAAGGGGGGTAATGAGAGCCTGCAGGGGGGGAAATGAGGGCGTGCAGGGGGGGAAATGAGGGCGTGCAGGGGGGGAAATGAGGGCGTGCAGGGGGGGAAATGAGGGCGTGCAGGGGGGGAAATGAGGGCGTGCAGGGGGGGAAATGAGGGCGTGCAGGGGGGGAAATGAGGGCGTGCAGGGGGGATGCCGCGCGAGGAGGCGAGAGGAGCACGCACGGGGAGGGGAGAGGAGCACGCGCGGGGAGGCGAGAGGAGCACGCACGCGGAGGGGAGAGGAGCACGCACGCGGAGGGGAGAGGAGCACGCACGCGGAGGGGAGAGGAGCACGCGCGGGGAGGGGAGAGGAGCACGCGCGGAGAGACGAGAGGAGCACGCACGGGGAGGGGAGAGGAGCACGCGCGGGGAGGCGAGAGGAGCACGCACGCGGAGGGGAGAGGAGCACGCACGCGGAGGGGAGAGGAGCACGCACGCGGAGGGGAGAGGAGCACGCGCTGGGAGGGGAGAGGAGCACGCGCTGAGAGGCGAGAGGAGCACGCGCGGGGAGGCGAGAGGAGGCGAGAAGGGGATATTGGGCGGCAGAAATGGGAGATCGGGCCGCGGGAACGGGAACTCGGGCGGGTTGCACGGGAGATCGGTCGGCGAGCAGGGGAGATGGGGTGGCGGGGAAGCGGAGGTCGGGTGGTGGGAAGATGACGGCTATTACCTAATCATAAGCATAGGCAAAGGGGAGCGCTACTGCTGCTCACCCCTGTTACGTGACATTCTTTGTCCTTTTGACGCCTTTGGATAGGAGCTAGGTTACTAATGGAGTGGTAATGCTTCTACTACGTGTAAGGAGGTAGGGCTGGAGTGCTAACCTTGGCGCTTGATTTTTCCCTATCACTTCACTCCCTTGCACAATATGTGTTCCCGTCGTCAGTGTTGGTCGCACAAAGTGCAACTTCCCAAACCTGTCACGCAAGAGGTTCGGATGTGACCCAAACCTGCGCCTGAGCTCTTGTGTTGGCCTCAACACTTTGGAACTTCGCGCATGTATTTCCCCCGCTCGTCAAAAAACTCGTCACTCGTAAACCAATCAGGATCTTACTTTCCCAACCAAGTGTTAAACACTAGTAAATATGAGACGCGAGCTTTAAGTTTAAGCACAGTGGCAAGCAAGCGAGCATCTTCCAGTGAAGCTGTCATGAAATTCAGTTACCGACTGAAGGAAAAGCCACGCAGGAAGGGACACGCGTCTTCCTTTCAGCATTATTATTGTCGCTGGGTCCTTTCTTCAAGAAAGAAGGAAGCAGCACTCCCTAGCGCGCCGCGTTCTTACCGACCGATGGCCCCGCAGCGGGCTTTAATACCTGAATCGTCTCGCCGTCCGACCGATGGCCGAGAGCCCGCGTCAGGCGGAAGATCTTCGCGGCGCACGCCGCGGGCATGCGGATGCGCCGTCCGCGCCCGTCCACCTTCCGGTGTCTGTCCTTCCGCCTCACCTCCATCTCCCCCTTCCCCTTCTCCTCCGCCTCCTCCTCCGCTCCCTCCCCTTCTTCCCAATCCAGCCGCGGTTCCGCGAGTCTTTCCCCCTCCGCTTCCGCCATTGGCACATGCGCGGCCTCACCTTGCGCCATCAGCGCAAGCCTCCCGGCGGCGTTAGAATCCCCGCTGTTCGCATTTACTCCCCTACCGAAGCCTCCGCCAAACGGCTCGCTGTCATTGCTCTCCCCGGAAGCACACCCCGCGGCCCTTTGCGCAACCAAATGAGATCGCGGAGCCTCCACTTCTACTCCGCCGGTCCAATCTTCGAACGGGCGGCGAGATTCACCGCCGGATGCGGGCTGGTCTAAACAACCTACGGGCCAAGGACTTGTGCTCATATCGAGTAAACAAGGGGCAGCGACGGCTTCTAACGGAGAACGGCTGCTTCTGCAATCATGCGATGACTCGGCGAGAAAAGAGACGCGACGCCTTTTCGCTGGAATTGAAATGTCGTCCATTTTTAGAGCTTCTACTATTGAGGAGGTGTCTCCTGGAAGAAAAACATGAAATTGAGGTGACATATTGAGTTTTCCTTTGCGGGATGTTCTTCTCGTATTCGATTTCTAGCGGTTTCAATTCTGCGCGACTCAACCACGAGACGGCGACGGAGCTGATTCTCGCATAGATCTATGGCGGACGAGGCTAAATCGATGACGCAAATTGTGAAGCACGAAATGCAGAGAGGGAGATGATAATGCAGATAATGCTGCTCGTTCCAGTCTGGCTCTCACAAACACAGAAAAGAGACACACATTCCGCACACTCCGCCCGCACGCTGCCGTTCCGTTGCAGTTGCAGCCGCGGCTGTGGATGGTATAACATTGGGCACGCGTCCAAGTGAGGCCTGTTCTGTAGTGTCAGTTTTATCACAGTTGTACTGTACGAGGAATAATGGCGGGGGGGAGAGGGAACTGTGAGGGGAGTGCCTGTGTAGGAACTGGTGGGAGTGGTGGGTGGGAATTGCGGGAATGGAGAAATGCTGTATGTCGGGGAAAATTCACCCTAGCAAAAACCTCCCTCTGCAGAATGGGGGTTGGGCTGGAACATGGATCGGCTGAAAAGGGGAAAAGTTACGAAATCCGGAAGAAAAGCGAAGGATTGGATTCGAGGAGTGCGTGCGAGCGGGCCCGGCTCGCATCACATCCCTCACCTCCGCGGAAGTGTGCGGAGGAGAGATTGCGGAAATGCTGAAGTGACTCATAGACGGGACGAGTCGATGCCCAGAAGTGGAAGGGAAAAGAGCGTGAGGGGGGGAGGGTGGGGGGTGATGAGTGGATCAGGTCAGGATGGTGAGCAGATTGGGGGAAGGCTGGCATTGTGCAACCAAGAAACCTTGGCTGCACGGTGTGTGGGCCAGTGCGGAAAGCAGTGTGAGCAAGATTGATCCGCTCCGCTGGCCACCCACTCGTGCACGGGGCCGCGGGAGTGGGTTGCATCGTCGAAAGAGTGCATCGCAGCGCAGCGATGGGCAACCACCGCGGCTCAACAAAGGAATGTGGTTGGTCAGAAAGAGCCGAGGAAGGGCCCACCAACACCAGCAATGACATGAGGCAGGGTTGCCGCCATGGCCGAGGGGGGTGGATGCTTCGAGTTTCCTTGCTGGACTGTGCATGGCCCAAGCATCAAGATGCAGAAGCATCCGCAATAAAAATATGGCAGGCTGCACGTGGGTGTGACACTGTAGATTTACAGAATGTACTTCAATTTGGGCAGGAAGGAAGCATATTCCTAGCAGCTATACAGCGTCTGGTTGCTGTGGGTTTGTGTGACTACGCTTCTGTACTGACCAACTAAAAGCGTGTTAATAGTAGTGATGCAGTAGATGCCCAGAAATATGTTTCGTCGTTGCGCCCGCACGCTTGATCTGCTTCGCTGTACAACCACGTCATGATTCTAACGGTGATGGTCGATGTCGCGTTTTCCAGCTGGCGCACGCCGAACGTAATTGAGAAATCTGTTGCGCCCATGTGGGCCATGCCGCGGAAAACGACATTTTCGGCCACTTGTTGTTGCCGCGGCTGGTGGCGCTCCAGTACAAGATGAATCAGTTCATGGAAATTGCTAGTCGTTTCAAAATTTATTTAGCATTGAAAAGAAATGTATATCACCCTTCCAAACCAACTTTAACCAGAGAAAACTGAATTGAGGATGATTACGTTGCAATGTGTGTACTGCACACAGAATCCCTCCTCGTCTGCCCGGAAATTATCCTCGGGCTTTCAACGCATCTCTTCTCTGCCACACTGCTGCAAGTCAATGGCTGGCTACAAAGTGCTACACCCTCTTTCTCGATAGACTGGCATATGTTATACTGACCGAGACGCTTAGTGTAGCCGCACCGGACCAAAGGAGGTCCTATCACATGCGTTACAGTGACAATTTGACCCAGGGCGTTTAGTCAAGGTTTTCTACGTTCTACAATGGTACTGTTGTTTTCAAAGCGGTCGGGACGGTTATTCAACGTTAATGGTTTTTTACGGCCCAAGGCGTGTTTCAAACCCTCGTGAGACTTTGCCTGCAACCGACTTATCTCACCAGCCCGCTACGTCCAAACACAGTAGCCAGTGCTTCCGCCGGTGAGAGAGGTGAGAAAGAGGGTGTACTGACGAAGGGCAGATGAGAGGCATAATCCACAACAAAGCACCAAATTTCATCAGTGCAGGAACAGTGCCTTCAGATACTGTGCTGTAAGTTCTCTGAAGATAACGCCTAATGCCCTAATTTGTCATCTATCCATCACGTCAACCATGTGGAAAGCACAACACAATGCACGCCATCTAAGAGACAAAGCAAACAAAAATAATAAGCAAAAACATAACAAAAAAGTCAGTCATAAGCTGGTAGACATTCTGAGCTGCCACCTATCTGTGCCGTCAAACAAATCTGCATGCACAGCAAAACAAGCAGGTCAGCAAAGGCGTTACACAAATTATTTTCAGATACTCTGATGTCGGAGTGGACAAAGCTGTACCGCAACTTTCAGAACTTTTGCAACACAGACTCGCTGCTTGCCCTCAAAATACAGCAGCACTATCCATCCCAAGCAGTTGCCTCAACTAGGCTTTAACCCCACTCTCACCTGCAATGTGCAAATAACCCTCCTAATTTCCATCTCAGCTGAAATCAAGCCTTTCCAGTTCCTCCTTTTCCAGATGCTCCCCCAAGCAACCCCGCTCCTCCATCCTGCCTGAGAGACTGAGGCAGCGCCCCTCCTGTCGCATTGATCACCTCCCGAGGCCGTTCTGAACCTCGTGCTGGCACACCCGGACCTCCTCCCGGACCACCTCCCAAGCCTCCCACCGAGCCTCTGCCACGTCCGCCCCAGACGATCCCACCTCTCACACCCCTCCCCATTCCCGCCCCCCCTTGCGAAGGCGCATCGCGAATGCGAGCTGTAACGGACGCTGACGAAGCGGCAGCACCAGAAGCAGCAGCAGCAGCTGCGGCAGCGGTCGCAGCAGTAACAGCAACAGCAGCAGCAGCTCCAGCGCTTGTGCTGCTCACACCAGACCCACCAGCAGGAACAACAGGCCCGCCAGCACTAGCTGCTGCCGAACCAGGAGGAGCAGGGCCAGGTGCGGCCGAGCCTGGTCTAGGCTGGGTGGCAGGCTTGGCAGATGACGCAGCAGCTGCTGTTGCCGCTGCACCTGGTTGCAATGCTGCAGTTGCCTTTACACCAGTGGGTACCCCAGCTGGACCCGCATTGCCCCATCCAGTTGCCTTCACACCAGTGCCCACCCCACCGGCACCAGACTCTGCCTTCTTCCCAGAAGTTGATGTGCCCGGTGCAGCAGAGCCAGTGCCACCTGTGCTCCCTCCACTCGCTCCGCTCACACTACCACCAGAGGGTGCAGACGCAGCTGCAGAAGGGGCACCTGAAGAGGATGGACGAGGGGGAGCAGGACCAGATGCAGCAGCTGCAGCAGCAGCAGCCCAACTAGTTGCAGCCTTCCCTGAATCTACCTTACCTCCCATTCCCCCACCCCCACCCCCAACCACAGCCACCTCCCCTCCATTACTTCCTCCCTGACTTGTTCCCCTCCCCCCTGACCCTCCTCGCCTTCCCCCATGCCTCCGCCCACCCCCTCCTTGCGCTCCTGTGCCCGCTGCTCCACTCACCGACCCCCCAGCAGCACTGCCTCCCCCCTCCGTGCGTGCTCCTGCGCCCTTCCCCCCCCCTCCTCCTCCCCCTCCTGCTGCACCTGCTCCTCCTCTACCCCCCGATTCTCCTGCTCCTGCTGATCCTCCGCCCCCTCCCCCTCCCCCTGCAGAACCTTCTCCGCCTCCGCCACCCCCCCGCCCCCCTCTCCCGCCCCCACGCCCTCCTCCCCTTGCTCCCCCCTTTCCTTGCAATCCATCACCCTTTGCACCTCCTGCTCCTGCTCCTCCCCCTCCTCCTCCTCCTCCTCCTGCTCCTCCTGCTCCTCCTGCCTGCTTCCCAGCGTCCCCACCAGCACCGGCCCTCTGCCCCTTGGACCCAGAGGTCCCAGCTGCAGCACCAGAAGCAGAAGCAGCAGTGCTGGCGCTCGAGTCACCAGCGGCAGGAGCGGAGGGGGCAGAGGAAGGCGTGGAGGTAGCAGCAGTGCCAGCGGTACCAGCAGCAGCACCAGTAGCAGGATTCGCAGCTAGAGAAGAGCCATTGGCAGCAGCAGCACCAGCGCTAGAGGCACCACCAGCACTACCATCACCAGCACCACCAGCGCCACCAGCACCACCAGCAGGGGCGGTGGCAGCGGATGCAGCCTTGGAAGCTCCCTTGGGGACGTACCTCTCCATCTCAGCGCGGCGCTGGCGGGCAGGGGCAGCTGACGTGGACCAGCCAGCCTGGACCAGATCTGAGCTGGCAGAAGCTGACGTAGTAGCAGCCGAGGGAGGCAAAGGGGTGAGAAGCGGAGGAGCTTGAGCGGGCTGAGATGCTGCTGCTGCTGCTGCTGCTGCTGCTGCTTGGGGTGATGGTGCCACTACAGTTCCTGCAGTTGCTGGTGCTGATGTGGTGATGGCAGACGGTTGCTGCGGTTGCTGTTGCTGCAGCTGCTGCTGTACCTGCTGCTGCTGTTGTTGTTGCAGTTGCTGTTGCTGCTGCAGTTGCTGTTGCTGTTGCTGCTGCTGCAGCTGCAACTGTTGCTGCTGTAACTGCTGCTGCTGCTGCAGATGCTGCGACGCGAAACCCAAGGGCATATGCATTGCCATACCCAAGTGCATATGCATTGGCACGTGCATGGGCATGGGCATGGGCATGGGCATCTGCATAGCCCCCGTATGGCCAGCAGGAGGGGTGATATGAATCAGCCCCTCTCTTGGCCGGCCCCATGCGTTCATCAGCATACCAGGAGGGCCCATACCGCCCACCACTGCTGCATGACCTCCCTGTGAGCCTGCCGCCGCTGCTGCCGCCACCGCCGCCGCTGCCGCCGCTGCTGTAGCTCCTGCTGCTCCCGCTGTTGCTGCTGCTGCTCCCTGTGCGGCTGCTGCTGCTGCTGGTGCTGGTGCTGGTGCAGCGGGTGTAACAGCAGCAGGGCCCCCACTCACAATAGCAGCAACGCTGCCAGGCGCTCCCTGCCATGCTCCCCGCTGGCCACCCAGCTCCCTTGCCACCTGCCCGGCCGATGCTGCCCCACCCACTGACGCCCCACCCGCGGCTGCCCCACCTGCTGCTGCCCCACCCACTGTGTTTCCACTAATGGGAATTCCTACACCTGAACCTCCACCACCCGCTCCTGCACTCACTCCTGCTGCTGCTGCACTCCCTACTGCTCCCGCGCCCCCTGTTGCTACAGCCCCTGCTGATCCCTCGCCCGCTCCTGCACCACCAACGCCGCCCCCTCCCTCCCTGACCTCCCTCCCTGCCGGAGCTCCCCCTCGCATGCCCGAGAGGGCTACCTTGGCAGCAGCGGCAGCAGCAGCAGCAGCTGCTGCAGACCTCTGCTGTTCACTCTCTGACCGCCCTTTCTCCTGCTGCCCGTGCTGCTGCCCATGCTGCCCTTGTTGCGGTTGCTGCCCCTGCGCCCGCACACCCCTCTGCTGCCGCGGCCCCTGCCCCTGTGCTTGCCCCTGTTCCTGCCCGTGTCCTGAACTCTGCGCCTGCTGCTGCTGCTGCACCTGCTGCACATGCTGCTGGTGTGGCTGCTGCTGCAGTGGCTGCTGCTGCTGTTGAAGATGCTGCAGCTGCTGCACATGCTGCTGTTGTGACGTACCAGTCCTTTGATCCCCACTGCCACCTCCTCCTCCTCCCAATACGCCACCACCACCACCAGCAGCACTCCCACCACCCCCAGAAACACCAGAAGCATCCCCCTCAACCGCCCCCTCTCCTCCCCCCACGTCACCTTCCGCCCCTCCCTTCCCCCTTCCGCCCTTCCTCCTCTGCCCTCCCCGCTTTCTCCCCCTCCCTCTACTCCCCCCACCTGCTCCTTCCCCAACCTCCCCCTTATCTCCTGCACTCGCGTCATTAGGTACGGGAGCAGGGACAGCAGGTCCGGTAATTGAGTTAGCAGCAGTGGGGGGTGGAGGCCCGGAATGAGGCCCGGAAGGCGCAGTTGGTTCGGCAGCTGATGCTGGTGCTGGGTGCGGTGCTGTGACTGGCTGGGGAGGAGTAGTTACCACTGCAGGTAGCGGGTCGGGAAAAACACGAAGGGTGAAGCAGAAAAGGTTTGAGCAGCCAGTCACACGTGATGTGGGTGGGGAACGAGAAAAGGGGTGGGGGAATGAGAAAGAATTGGGGAACGGAGAAAGGGTTGAAGGAACGGGAAAGGGTTGGGGGAATGGGAAAGGGTTGGGGAATGATAAGGAAAGCCCCAGAAATGGCGTGCTCTTGTTAAGACGGGCACCACATGTTCTCAACTTTAGCCTTTCTCAATCCAGGCGCCGTGCTATTTTGGTGAACTTTGATGAACATGCGTCCTTTGATGCACATGCCTTCTTTCATAATCACGCTTCCTTCAATGCACATGCTTGCTTTGATGCATATACTCACTGATCGTCGCCCTTCTCACCTTCTTTTCTTGAGCTTCCAGCGGAGCCAACGCTTCCTGCCTCCACATATCCTCCGTTAGACACCACTCCACCGCTTCCCACTCCTCCTTCTGCTGCTCCTCTCCCTGCCCCGCCTTGACCTGCCATCTCCCCAACCCATCCCGTCCCAGCCCCTCCCTTGGCCCTCTCATTCACAGATACCGCCTGTCCAGCTGCTCCTTCCCCTGATCCCCCCGATACCCCATGTCCCCCCGGTGCCCCAGAGCCCCCCCACGCCCCTGGCGCAGGCATCCCCGCGAGGAAACTGGCGGGCCCTCCCGCGGGTAGCGCAAGCAGGCTGTCTTTGGCGCCTTGCGCGTGCTGCTGGGGGAGCGGGGGCGCATGGGGATGGGCGTGCGGATGCGCGCCGGGGGGTGGTTGGTGCGGGGGCGCATGGCCTGGCGGAAGCAGGTGCAGAGGCAGCACCTGTTGTCCGGGGAGCAACGACGTGGGGCGCGCGCCAGGGGGAGCGTTCGGGGGCATGTTTGGCGGAAGGTTAGGCGGAAGGTTGTGCTGCATGGGGAAGGGCGGGTGGGGGAAGAACTGCGGATGGCGCATCCCGTGAGGAGGCCCGACAGGGGCGAGGAACTGGGGGATTGGGGGACCCATGATGATCCGCGGAACTGACGTAGGCGCGGGAAGTAGTGGCTCCGCCTTAACGTTTCCACCTGCGGCTGCTGCTGCTGCTGCTGCTGCTGTTGCTGCTCCTCCACCTCCTCCTGCCACACCTCCCACTGCCCCTTCCGTGGAGTTCTGTGCTAGGCCTGAAGTAGCAGAACCAGCAGCTGCCCCTGCATTCGAAGATTCCGGCCCGGTTCCCTGCACTGGCACTCCACCTGCCATACTCGCCCCGGAGCCCACCTGTCCGACCTGCCCTGCCCCCCCTCTCTGCTGCCCCTGCTCTTCCTTCTCCGTCACTTTACCAACCGCCCCCCTCCGGCCCTGCACAGGCCCCTCCCTTCCGCCCATTCCTCTGCCCACGCCTCCATCCCCCCTGCCCTGCGCCTCCCCCTGCTGCCGCGCGGGGGTCCAGCGCCCGTCCGCCTCCCCCGGCCCCGCGCCCCTAGGCCTGCCTTGCTCTCTTCCGCGCCCGCGGCCCCGCCCCGCCCCAGCTCCGCCAGCGGCAGCAAATCCACTCCCCGGACCCTGTTCCTGCGCGCTTGGCGCGGGTGCTGAGACTGACGGGCGTGGGGAAACGGGTACACCTGCAGCAGCAGCAGCTGGCAAAGCCTCTGGCTGCTGTTGCAGAGCAGACGCTCCAGCCGCTGCCGCCACAGCAGCAGCGGCAGAAGCAGCAACAGCAGTAGCAGCAGCGGCTGCTGCTGCGGCGGCGGCAGCGTTCATATCACCTCTTGCAGCCCCTGGTACCGGCACTGATCCAGCCGCTTGCTCCCCTAGCGCCATTTGCGCCGCTGCTTGCGCAACCCCCTGTGGACCTCCCGCGGATGCACCCTGCGCTTGCTGTGGCACTGTACTCGGACCTGTCTGCATTTGCTTTCCCGCCATTGCCTGCCCTGTCCCACCCCCTGAACCTTTCTCACCTACACTGCCACCAGGCGTCGCTGTAACAGCAGAAGAAACCGTGGCTGGAGCAGCAGCAGGCGCGGCAGCAGGAGCGGAAGCAGATGCCGCAGCGGCGGAACCACCAAGCGCGGGGCCACCAGGCGCGGAGCCACCAGGCGCGGAGCCACCAGGCGCGGAACCACCAGGCGCGGAACCAGGTGCAGCACTGGGATCAGGAGCGGGAGAGGCCCTCCTTCGAGGCACCTCCCGCGGCGACCGCAGAGGGCCTCGGCTGAACGGCCGCGGGCTCTTAACGAGGACCTCCCTCCCCAGCCCTGCGCTCGGACCAGTCACGCCCGCTGCATGCCCACCTGCTGCTGCCTGCGCAGCTGGCACCGGCCCAGATGCGACCTGCCCAGACGAGACCTGCGCAGCCACACCTGCACTCCCACTGCCCGCACTAACCCCTTGCGCTACACCCTCTCCGCCCGCCGCCCCTCCTTCTGGCCGCTTCAAGATGCGAACCTGCTCCGGCTGCGTTCTTCCAGCGCTTTCCGCGCCCCTCCCAGAATCCCGACCCCCCTGTTCCCCCTTCCCCCCATCTGCCCCGCGCGGGGTCCCCTCGGGTGCTCTACCCAGAAACGGGTCATCCTCAAACGCGGGTTTGGAAAAGTCCATGGTTTCGCTCTCTGCAGAGGCCCAGTCGATCCCAATGTGGTGATCTTTGTGGTATGGCCGATGCGGCTGCGAAGCTTGCTGCTGTTGCGATTGTGACTGCTGCTGCTGCTGCTGCTGCTGCTGCGGCTGCGACTGTGACTGCTGCTGCTGCTGAGACTGCTCCTGCCCCTTCCGCTGCGCTTCGCTACCTTCTTGCGCCTCCCCGGGTTCCCCTCCCCTCCGTTTCCCCTCGTCCGCCGCCCCCGGCGCAGAAGGCTGCCCCTGCCATCCATCCCCTGCGCCAATTTCCCCACGCGGACCGTACGGCTCCATGGGCGGACGGCCATGTCCGCGCCCCGCATGCTCCCGCGCCATGCCCCCGCGCCCGTCGAACCCTTGGGGGCCTCCCCGCCCCGCGCCCATGAACTCGTGCGCGCCCATGGGGCGGAAAGGCGGACGGCCCTGCCCCAGCGGCGCATGGAAATGGTCAAACGGAGGCGGAGGGGGGAACATTCCGGGGGGCATGTCAAACTGCGGACCTGCGCCTCTCCCTTGCGGACCATGCGGAATCCCCGCGCCCGGCCCATGCCCCGGGCCATACCGCGCGCCAAACCTCCCCCCTCCCCGCGGATCCATATGCATGCCGTAGCCGTGCGGGGGCATCATCCCCGGGCGCATGGGCCCGTCGTACATTGCGCCAGGCGGAGGGCCTCCCCGCCCCGCCCCGTGCGCAAACCCGAACTCCGGGCCTTCTGGTCCGCGGTACATTGGGTGTCCCCCGCCACGCCCATACCCCATTGGCGGGGCCATCCCTGGCGGCCCCCGCCAGTTCTCCCCCGGCCCTCCCCCTCCTGCTGCGCCACCCGCGCCTGGTCCTGTTCCTGCTGGTCCCCCTGCGCGCCAGTTTTCACTCTCCGGACCCCTCTCCCGCCACATCTCCCCCCCCGCGCCCGCACCCGGCGGAGGCGGGGACCTCCCAACACCAACCTCACCCCTCCGCCACGACGCCCCCGCTCCTCCGCCTCCACCTCCGCCACCCCCGTCCGCACCGCTCCCACCAGATCCATGACGCCACGTGTCACCATCAGGGCCGCCGCGGTGCCACGTGTCCCCAGGAGGGGGAGGCATACGGTCCGCCCTGTGCGCGGGCCAGAGGTCGTGCGGGGGGGGATCCTCAAAGCCTCCGCCCCCCGCGCCGGGGGGGTGCGGATGCCAGCGCGCAGGCATCATCTGCTCTGGTCCCGCGCCAGGCCTGCGCCCCATGCCCTGGTCCCATCCCATGGGCCCTGCGCGCAGGCAAACAGGACGATAAGCATGCGACACACAACAGTGAAAAAAGCCGCGTTTCAGCACGTCAAGGTCCATTCCTTAACTTCTAAAAATAACCATTCGCAAGCGCTAGAATATGTTTCCGCGTTATAGCTTCCTTCGTTTGCATGAAAGCTTCTTGGACTTTCACGCACGTTGTGACAGGTTCACTGGTTCACTTGCAGCTAGACATTAACCCCTCCCTGCCCCCCCCACCCCCTCAACCCTTCCCAGTGCCCACAAACTCCCTCCCATCAACCCCTTCCAAAGCAACACGCACCTTCACCACGCTGCCCGTGCTCTCCGTGCTCCTGCCCGTCGTCCCTCCCTCGGTAATACCCCGCGCCGTCCTGCTCACTCGGATGACGCGAGCCCTCTTGCTGTCCCTGTTGCTGCTGCTGCTGCTGCTGGCCTTGCTGCCCCTGCTGCTCCTGCTGCTGCTGCAGCTGCTGCTGCTTGGCCTGTTCTGACCCCAGCGAGGGAAAATCTCCCGCCGACAGATGGAACTGCCCTCCTTTGCCGTCCGATTCGCCATGGCGGTCCTGGATCAACGAACAGGATTGATATAGGCGAGACAACGGAACAGGGAAGAGAAACGGGCGTGGAGGTCCAGTCGGGTGGAGCGCGACCGGATAAAGATCCAAGACATCATGGACATTGATTTGAACGAGGGGGTTAGACGAGAGGGAGACGAACCGGCGAACGATTCAGAAGAGGGACGCAGGAGCGGGACGCGGGGAGCGATGCAGGTGACGGTCGAGGGAGGGACAAGGCGAGAGGAACGAGGATACGGACAGGAGAAGGACGAGGAGAGGGACGAGAAGCGGGACGAGGAGAGGGACGAGGAGAGGGACGAGGAGAGGGACGAGGAGAGGGACGAGAAAAGGGCCAGGGGAGGGGCCAGGGAAAGAGTCGCACGGTGGAGGTCGACCACGCAGAGGGGTTAGGCGAGCTCCGCAGCGAACCACCTGGCGGCGTCCCCCCGTACGGCCCCCCCCGCGGGCCTTCGCGCGGCCCCCCTGGCCCCTGTCCCCCCCACTGCGGGTACCCAGATGCGCCAGGCTCCCCCTCGTGGTGCGGCGACCGCTGCGGCTGATGCTGATATGACGAATCTGGACCACCAGGAACGGGGCTCCTACGGTCAGAAGTCAGGCTCGGAAACGCTCCCGGACCTGGAGGCCCCAGACCTGGCGGTCCAGAACCAGGGGGTCCTTGAGGTGAGGGCCCCGGAGGATACGGAGGGACAGGGGAGCGGTTGACTGGAGAGGGATTTCCATTGGGCTGAGGCCACGTGGAGACGGAAGGGGGTGGTGGGGATTGCTCTGCGCCAGGCGGCTTCCATGCGGAAGGAGGAGCGGGTGGAGGGGGTTCAGGAACGGCCCAGGCGGAGGAAGCAGTGGGCTTGTTGGATCCCCATGTAAGACTTCCTCTGAAAAAAATCCACGGGGAAAAAAAAAGTGAATGTAGAAGGATGAATTACTGGCACGCTAGTCGTTAATAAATAAGTTACTGCAAAGAGAATAACCATAAATACGGTTCAGAGGATGTGGTTACCGTGGGACAAGTGCGACTGATGGGTCGAGTCCTTTGTTCTCAAGCCTGCGACGTAGAGCCAGAAAACCCGTCAGATCCGACGCATGAGGGAAGATGAAAGGCGGGAAACAAAAAGCTCAAATCATACTTTTGACTGGGAAGGTTGATTGGTTTTGGAACGGCAGGAATCTTCCCGAGCACGGTCATTCCCCTCCGGGATGGTGCTCCTCTGCAAACATACGCAATGAAACAGGAAGTAAATCCCCCTGATTCGTTGTAAAACTACTGTCATAAGCTGAAATCGCGAACGATCACCCACCTTCTGTCTCCCAGCATGATCAAGGGGTAAGAACTGTCGCTCTGTCACAAGAGGCGTTACTATGCTAGAGAAATGCTCTAAAAAAATCACCAGCGGGCTACGACTAGGGTACGACCCTAGAACCGGGATCTCAGACTTAGTCACACAGGATTGAACGACTAAGAGGATCCTACGGCTGGGCCTACACCTAACCTGCCTACTGCATCCAAGATCTGGAACTCAAAAGGCTTTCAGTAGACTTCTGACTCTTATCTTCCACTCATCTTGCATCCCGCTTACACCCATACCACCCCCCTGCTGTGGCTTCACTGAAGGCAGTGGTGCAGAAGAAACACAATTGGCCGAGACCAGGCTTCCTTGAGAATTCCGCAAAAACGAACCTCTAGAGGCTGTGCTTCGGCACGATTTGCTTACCTCGTTCGGCCCGAACTTTCGTAAGTTTGGCGCGCATAATCGAGCTGGCATGTGCCTCTCGGAGTTATGATTGGAATGATGGAGGTTCGGAAGGGCAGTGCTGTGGCAGATTGCTTTTGGGCTAGGTTTGCTGCTGTTCTAGTGGCGCGAAACGTGGACGCGTGCTGACGGGGCAAACCGAACCGAGAACGAGTCGAGCCAAGATCTTCAAGCCATGCTCGCCTGAAACTCCGTTTTCCGTTACAGCTGTTTTCTGTGTAGTTCGGTGTTCTGCGAGATAAATAGCACTAAACGAATCTATTGGTTCTACTTATATCTTCATAGATATTATGATACACATTATGAAATTACATATGTAATACATTCTATACGATCATTTTGTCTTAGCTGCTGCTTAGAGGAATTGGCCCGCACAAAATGCCATCGAGTCCTTGAATGGACACGTGTTGGTCGAGAAACAAATCAGGAGATATCAGTGGGATTCGTCTGCTGCCTACGTGAGGGTTTGTAAGCAATACTTGCTTTCTCAAAGTGCCCTTTCTGTCCCTGCTGGTTGTGTGAAAACTCTTCACATAATTTGATTCGTAGCCTTTGATGTCTCCAAACTGCAAACACACAAAGCGTAAGAATGCAAACATAAATGAATAACCACCAGAACAAATAGAAACTTCCCGAAGTGTAATATCAATGCAGCCGAAACTCCTTACCTTCGTGCCATCAGGTGAGTCAATGATGTCCTCCGCTGTGAAGAGGCCGAGAACGATGTGCAAAGACATGCTGGAACTCATCAGATCGGAAGGAGACCCCGATCTTCTCGTCGCAGACACGGCACGGGCGCAGCCGGGAGGGACGGCGGTGCCGTTTGCCGCACCGAGAATCGCGTGATTCGGTACGGCGAAAATGGTGAGCTGATAGTGATTCAGCGCGGGCCGAATTACATTTAAAACCTCTGCAAACGGACAGCAACGGGGATAAGGGAATGCAAATTGGAGAAGTTTTTTGGTCACGAAAAATCCCAGTCCATACAGGACAGAACGGGCAGCGGGAGGTGAAGGAACGCACGAGGGTTGTTGAGCCGTTCGAGGAATTCCGTGTAACCCGCCGATCGAAGAGCCTCGCGAACCTTTTGAAGCTCAGTGGCGCCGTCGTAAATGGGAGGTGCCTCATTTAACACTCGTCTCAACGCCGCGACTCTGGAAATGCACACGACGAGGAGGAGGACGCCTAGTGCCGCCGCGTGCCTGAGACGAAGAGTTTGCCGTTCCAGCATGGTGGATTTGACGGACTCGAAAGTGATACTGAATTGATCAGAAGAACTGGTAAGGGGATTCGCCCTCTCGCGAATACTAAGCAAGTTAGCTAGTGCCTTACGTCTTCTACAAAGTAGTACGGAGCACTACTGTACAAGAGCCAGTCACTTATCACTGATCAGGTGTGCTGGAAACAGGAGAGCAATGAGCGTGGCTCGTTTCCTGTGCCGAGTGCGGATGTTTGGTGATGTGAGGTTAGTGGTGCAGCAGCAATTCAGGAATCAGGACTTGGGGGGATGGAAAAGTCACATGCAGCGCATTTGAAGGACGGCTGCTCAGGGCGGAAAATGCACTGACGGCTGAAATTGATTGGGTTCAGGTGACGGTGGGGGATTTTGGCGGTGGGAGGGGACCATTCGTCGAAGCAGCAAACTACCGCTTGATGCGACTTGACAGTTGGGCTTTTCTTCGTTTGATTGGTGGAATTAGAACGAAACGGGAGCTTCGGAATTGTACCTGATGAGCTTTCGTAATTGGCTGCGAAGGACAACCCCAAACCCCCTTCCCCATCGCAGGCGCAAATGCATCAGGTTTCTTCAGGTTATTCAGCGCACTCGCCGACACCTGACCCAGAGCTGTAACACTGAACACTTGGTGCAGCCCTCAAGCATACTAGCGGCCATATTACAAAGCAGCGGTTTTTAGTTTTGCTTTGAATAATCACTTAAAAATAAAACATTTATTGGGCCTACTTTTATAAGTGATGTAATATTACGATAAGTAAACTACTGAGAGTCAAGCAAACCGTGCTAAGGTTGTAAGGAGCTCCATCCAGCGTCTGTACGCATAATAGTGGCTCTAAACTACTGGCTATATTCATTACCACAATTTCCCTGTTTGATGTACGAGCACACTTCACTTAGCCCTTAGAACAGGGCACAGGATGTGATGTGGGTCGACAAATGAACCCAGCAAAATATATCTTCCTGTGTTCACCCTTTTCGACTGGCATGCGCTTGTCCAGGTAGAGGGTTGAAGGAGATTTGAACTAGCGACATAAATGCAACAAAATAGGTAGTACGAACTGGCTGGATACATCAAATCCATAATCAGCAAAAACGCAGCCGTGGAGGCTGGTAAGGTCAAGCCCTTCTAATCAAGTCATATGCACACGTGAAGGGTGGTCTGCAAACAATACCTATCTAATAAGTACAAGCCGTGATGCCAGGTTCCCTACAGCACTCTAAGAATCCGGGCCGCCTGGGCGCAGTGCATGCGAAGCAGCTGCACGGGAACGCTGTTCGAGTCCAGAGACGAGTCGACGGCGATCTCCACAAGGTTGCTCTCAATCGCCAGAAGCAGTCGCTCGGCCTCTGCGACGCGCAGCTGTCGTCGCACCTGCGACTCCACGTCGACATCCATGCCGAGATCGCTGATGCCGCTCCGCACGCGGGAAAGAAGAGCCCGGCCCGCACCAGCGATGCTCTTGCCGTTACCGGGAGCGTGGTTCAGCGTGCGGCTGAAAGTGACGAGGAAATCCGCCATGGATGCGCCGGAAGGCAGCACGGGAGTGGCGGGGGCATCTGACTCGGGTCGGTTGACGGCGGCAGGCGCAGCTTCAGCCCTCACAACAGGAAGTCCACGTGCAATGAGTGTTCGCGATTTTAGCTGCGACGCGGGGGATGCTGTGGTCAGGCCCCTGGAGAGAGCGGCGGAGGACAAGATAACAGCCTGGTTGCATGAGAGAGCCATTTCGTAGGGCGAGGGTTGACTGCGCTGTTGTGTCACGAGCTGATGCTAGAAGGAGCGGGAATTATTTGTGAGTAAGAGAGTGATTTTTGGCTTTGGATAATGAGAAGAGGTGGAGCCTCCATTTATTGAGTCAAGCGCCAAGCCCGAGAACTGCGCGACTCGCAAGAGTGCGGCGGAAGGAAGCGAGAGGTGCAGGTCCCGCAGCTGGGGTGGGAATATAGGAAGGTGAATGAACGTGACAACACGACACAGGTGACAGCTCGAGCTGTGCGATTCGAAGTAATTTCGTGGGAAGTGAAAAATCTTCCGCATTCTGCACCTCCAGGCAGGGGAGGGAGGGGGGGATGCAGCTGTTCCCCTCCTCTCTCACCACCGTGTTCTGGGTCGGAGCTGGGGTTGCGTGAATTTGCCCCCAGCCTCGATCGATCGAATTCGAAGGCAAGTTGGCTACATTATTGGAAAATCACAATTCTAGGCTTGGTGCATTTGCGCTGCCATCCTGGCGAAGCGTCACTTACGTGGCTGTGGGGGCCGACGTGGAGCGTAGTTAGTTGCTTTGGTTTAGAAACACGTCCACAGGGGGTTCGCTAAAGCTTTGCCTCGATTCAGAAGTTCGCCCACAAAGAATCCCGTCAACCAGTATAGTCATACGCAATTCATGCCAACATATTCAGCACAAACCTTTTTCATCACGGTAAACTAAGTAGAATCATACGGAAACATGTTTTACTAATTAAATCTTCATGTAATCTGATTAATTGATCGTTTAGTGAAGAAAAGCAGAGGATTTACATTTGTTCGTGGCTGATTGTAAATGGACTGCGCAGCTCAGGTCTGGGATACACTTTGAGCCCCATTCACGCGGCAATCGAGGTTTTTTAAGCAGAAGACAGGATCTAACGGTACTCTTGGTACAACTGTGGCGGTGCTACCTAGGTCCGCCGTTCAGACCACACGAAACCATGCCAACAACCACCCACGATTGGATGAAGCGTCTTCGCTCCACATCTGGCCGTTGGTTTCCTGTGCCGACTTCTGCAACAACCTCGAGATTGACATTTCGTGAAGTGTTCATCAGAAATTGCGAAGCGTTACTGTTTCGCTATTTCCTCGCACAAATTGTTTAGGGTTACGAGCATTTCAGCTCTGCCTGTTTCGTCATCCCGCCTATCGCCGCAACCCACCGCGTTCGCCTGTCACACCGCGCTCACCGAAACCTCAGAGTTGCCTCGACAAGTTTGAGAGACCTTTGAGAATAGCTGTGGAAGAGCTTCGGAAGAGCCTCGGATGAGCCTCGGGCGTGTCGCCTCCAGTCTTCTCTGTCTCTTGAATCCCACCTTCCTAGGTGCCTTGCCTTTCTCCCATTCCAGCCCAGCATCCCTCTCCCTCAGGCGTTTCCCATTCCACGCTCACATTCCTGTCAGTCATACAGCTGCATCGTCTAGCTTGAATCCCTAGTTTCTCCAAATCTTTAGCTTGTCGTCGTGAGAGTCGCCACGTGCTGATTTCGTGCTGGACCCTGAGTTAGAGAACTTAGGCCAGTTAAACCTCAGTGTTTTCCCCATTAGGCTGTATACAACCAGCTTACTCTCATCTTCTCCGTAGCTTAGGTCTGGTTTCGGTCCGCTCGAGTGTTCAAAATCAGACAGAAGTTGCTTAACATAGGCACCTGAATCTGTTACTCCAAGGACTCTACTTCTGTGTCGCGAGTATACGATGGACTTGAGATAAAGTGTGCATCCCAGTTTCGAGCCGTGTTCGTCATTGTCGGCGCACTCTGTCAGGGCTAGCATAGGACGTTTCTCTGTTATCCAGTCATCCTACTCTCTCCATCACGTTCTCCTAGTTAGCGCCTATGGATTGGGTACTATGGTTCGTCGGGGTAATTATAGCCCTAGTATGCACCCTCGTAGCTGTATTCTTGTCAGTACGGCATATTATCCAACATCTACAGAATTATACGGAGCCGACGTTTCAACGGTACATCGTCCGAATCATTTTCATGGTTCCAGTAAGTCTTGGGAAACTGTGTGTCTTGCTGACTCCAGCTCAAAACAGCATGTCGGGTTTCTAAATCATAGTGTTATGAAGGGATTGGTTCCGGTTGCAGATGTAGTTGTGTTGCTCTTCAGACTACTTAAAAACCAAACCGGTTGCTGCCTCGCGCTAACGGCTTAATCAATGGGCCTTTGGTTGAATCCCGCAGGTGTATGCGACCATGTCATTCTTCGCGCTGGCTTTTAGCGAGTACGCGATGTATTTCAACACTATCCGAGACGTGTAAGTGGAACAATCTTGCATGTTACCCTTTGGATCTTTGTTCCTCCCATAGATAGAAGCATTTTCATCCTGCAGTATTCCTCTCCTGTTGCTCGCCGTCCATTCGCCTTTCTCAATTCGTAACTTCGTCCCCGTGACTTGTTGTTATACCCCTTATAATCAACCCCAGGTACGAGGCATGGGTGATCTACAACTTCCTGTCGCTGTGTCTGGCGTGGGTGGGGGGTCCTGGAGTGGTCGTGACGTCTCTCGCTGGTCGCGTGCTCAAGCCGTCCATCGTTCTCGGCACCTGCTGTCTGCCTCCCATGCCGCTCGACGGGTAAGTTTCTGCCTAGTGCGCGGGTGACTTGCACGGCACCCTGGCACGGGTAGGCTGTCCGCGCTGAAGCTTTGTGCGCTTCAATTCTTGTGCGGATGGCCGCAAGCTGATTCGGGTTCACTTCACTTGTGCAAGCGTTGCGTGAATCCCTTCCATCCACCAGTTCGGTGTCCTCCACACTTGGATTAACACCGGCTCGTCTCCTTTGTCTCCCGTCGTCCCATTCTCCGAATGACTTCAGAATCGACTTTGAACGTCTCTCCCTCCCATTCAACCTCCACCAAACACCCCCGGACCCTCCCGCTCCTCTCCCCTCCAGCCGATTCATCCGGCGCTGCAAACAAGGCTGCCTGCAGTTCGTGTTCCTCAAGCCCATCCTGGCCGCACTTTCCCTCATCCTCTACTCGTACGGGCTGTACAACGACGGCAACTTCAGCGCGTTTGACTCGTATCTGTACATCACGTGCGTGTACATGATCTCCTACTCCATCGCCATCTACGCGCTCATCCTCTTCTACGTCGCCTGCAAGGACCTCCTCAACTCCTTCAACCCCATCCCCAAGTTTCTCATGATCAAGGCGGTTGTCTTCCTCACCTACTGGCAGGTACGCCCTCCTATCCCTGCAGCACCTGCAGCACTCCCTTCTCTCCTCCTCCCCGTTTCCCCCTTTCCCGTTTCTCACGCCTGCACTCGTGCAACCCCATCCCTAAGTTCCTCGTGATCAAAGCCGCCGCCTTCCTCACCTACTGGCAGGTACGTTAAACGCACCCCACCTCGAACCCTCCTTTTACCCCCTGGAACCAACCCTTCCCCTTCATCCCTCCCCCTGTTCCCCTCAAAGCGGTCGTCTTCCCCCCTCCCTCTAGTCCCCCACATGCCCGTCTCATTCAGGCCATCATCACCTTGCTCGTTTCCCAAGTGATAGCCAACTAACCATCAATACCTCCATCCCCCTATCCCCTCCCCCTCTCGCACGACCCCTTCCAAATTTCTCTCATCCACGGGGACATCATCTTCCTCATCGGCCCTATTGCAGTCGGCTAACCATTGTCTTCCCCACCCCGCATATTCCCCTCCCGCTCCTGCACGACCCCCTCACCATATTCCTCTCATTCAGGGGGTCATCATCTTCCTCATCGCCCATTTCACAGCCAGCCCAGAGGGAGCAGCGGACCTGCAAAACGTGATCATCTGCTGCGAGATGGCGCTAGGAGCCATCGGCTTTATGATCGCATTCCCCGTCAAACCCTACATGGTCGCGAACGTGGGCACGTCAGGGGCAGGGCCGATGGATTTCCAGGGGTTCGGGCTCGCAGGGCTGGGTCTGGCGAATATGACCGAGGAGCAGAGGGGCGCGCTGATCTCTGCGTTTAAGCATTCTGTCAATATGGGGGATGTTGTGAGCGACACGGTTCACCAGTTCGCCCCCACGTACCATGACTATGTGCTGTACAGCGATGGGTCGCAGGACAAGCCGCAGCACTACCGCACCCGCACCTTCGTTCCAGCAGGTAGGCCCTTCTTCAGTAGTTCATTGGCTTTAATGAGTGTCCTTGTTAATTGGTCGCTTTCTACTTTTTACAAGAGCCCTCTTTCCTGAGCTCGCTCCCTCCCCCATATTCCATTCCTGTGGGCCTCACCCTGTCTCTCACTCACCTCTCCCACTGACATCTCCCCACTTCTACCGCCAATCCCTCCTCCCCTCAGGCAAGGAGATGGAGAATGCGCGTAGCATGAGGCAAACCTTCAGCTCGGGCCGCACGGGACTCCTCACAGCCGAAGCCACCGCGTCAGAGCGCCGCTTTGCCAACCTCTTCGCCTCCATCACTCCTGGCGCTGCTGCTGGCGCCGGTGGTGCTGCTACAGCTGCTGCTACAGGTGCTGTTGGTGGGTCCGCTACAGCAACTGACGCCTCTGCTTCTTCTGCTGGGGGGTTGACCAGTAAGGTGGCAGTTGGGGGGTCTGCTGGTGCTGCTGCAGCAGCAGGGGCGGCTGAATCTACCGATACACCAGCAGGAGCAGCGGCAGCGGCGGCGGCAGCAGCCGCAGCTGCAGCTGCTGCAGCAGCGGCTGCTGCTGCTGCTGCCGCTTCCAGAATCAAGGGAGAGACAATTGTGAGCATTCGCCATGACATGGACGATCCAAACGCAGCTATCCTGGAATCTCCCACGGGAGAATCCTCGAGCTCGTACGACCCTCCGGTTAAGAAGATCAATTCATCGCTTTCTCGAAGCAGCAGCAAGGGAGGGGAGGGGGCCGGAGTTAGAGGGATTGGGTCGGAGGGTGAGCCGCTGTCACGGCGGGCGTCGAGCATCAATGAGGAGGAGAACTCTCGGTTGAGACGCAGCTCGGGGGCCGCAAGCAAGAAGGAGAACGAGTTTGGGTTTCTGATGAATGAGGATGATATGATTGAGGAGGGAGATCCTCGACTTGACCTTGAGGGGTTTGTAAGTGGGTAATTCCATTGGAAGTCAACTTCATGTCTGACAATGTTGACAACACATTAGGGCGTTTAATTTGTTCATTGCAGATTGTCAATTTATATATATAATCTTGTATGTTGGTCTTGGTTTCCAGACATTTTTTAAGTTTGGAACAGACGGGGTAGTAAGAATGACTGTTGATACCATGTCTGTTCTCACAGCCAATGAGGAATGATATCGTCCACATGAATATATTGATTAATATCTTGCCCATAGAGCAACCATAAAGTTGACAGTATAATCTTACAGCTATTTACATAATTTATACATGATAGATTACACGAACTCGGATGTCCTTGCATTTCGCGTTTCCCTACCTCGCTAACTCAACTCCCTAAGTCTACTTCACACGGAGCGGAGAACACGGGCAGCGTGTGCGCACTGCAAGCGCACTGCCTGCACGGGGAAGGCCTCGGGCGCCACGGCAAGTTCGAACTGCAGGCGGCCCAAATCCCTCTCCACCTCAAATAGCAGCCGCTCGGCTTCCACGCCCTTCACCTGTAGAGCATAAGGGCGTGTTACATTTTCGAATTTTCCGTACGGTTCGGACATTCACCACTCTGAAACAAACTGAAACCCACTTGAACAAAGCGTTTAAGAAATAAACCGATTTAAACCGTTCATACGGTCCGGTCCGTCTGGAAAAAAATCGAAAATGTAACACGCCCTAAGCAAATCAGAAACGGAGAATCGGAGGGTGAATTCAAGGAAACCCGTGAAATAGCGTCCGTAAGCACGCCACCAACAACCCCCGAAACAAATCAACGACACACCCGATAATAGCAGCAAGCGAGAGAGCACGTACCTGGTTCGTATCGAGCAGGTTCCGCAGCGACTCCAACACGTGCTCCAAGACGCTGGCACCGGCGGCGACGAGATCGCGACTACGGCCGGGCATGAGGTGAAGCATGCGGCTGTACGACATGAGGCAGTCCGCCATGGCTGCTCCGGATCGCAGCGCGGCGGGCGGTGGAGCGAAGCTTGTGGGAACGTTCCGGCGGCGCGCGGACGATGACGATTTTTCTGCAATGAAGTGAAAAGGAAGGTAAGCAACGACGGAGGGAGATGCAAACGGGGCAATGGTAGGACTACTGATCGCGAATCAAACCAGTCATTAACGCCAGAAGACGAGCTTCGAAAAGAGAGTACGCACTGTGTTGCTTGATGCGGGGCGCGGGGATCGCGGAGGAGGATGGCGAGATTGCGGACGATGGCGACTCGGAGGTTGGCTCCGCACGTTCAGCGCGTCGCGTGGGAATCGGCGCCGATACAGAGACCATGGTGTCCGAGGTTGGCGGCGAGGCGGCGGATGACGACGCGATGGTGGGCGATGACGACACCGTAGGCGCTGGTTTTACGGTGGCCGGTCGTGCGGTAGGCGCTGATTTGACGGTGGCCGGTCGTGCGGTTGGCGCTGGTTTGACGGTGGCCGGTCGTGCGACGGTGGGCGCTCGTGCGACGGGGGGCGCGCGTGCGACGGAAGGGGCTCGTGCGACAGTGGGAGATGGCGCGACTGCGGTGGGCGGCGCTTGACAGCGGGCGAACGGCATGGCAGCAGCGGGGAGTGATCTATTAACAAGGTTCCGTTTCCCCATTAGCGAAATCGTCGAGTTGGCGGAGCTTCCGCGAAGAGCAGAAGCTGGGTGGGGAAGAGCGAGAGCCATGTTTGAAACTTACGGGGGAGATCAGCACCACCACTTTCAGAAACCGGGTATCGAATACTCCGTTTGCCGATATTTGGAACTAGAAGCTTGTAAAGATTCCGGTGCTTGTGGTGGATGATTGAGGTGAATGAGTAATAAGTGATGGAGCCTACTATATATGGACAGCTGTTGCTGGTGCGTCGTCAGCGGCGCGAATTTCTTCGCCTGCAAGACAAGAGGAATACAGCAGCACTGCTTCCTGCACTCACCTGGGATTTGGGCGGGAAAAATGTCCAAGCCGCTGTATCGCGCCTATCAAAATGTTTGCGTAGTTCGTGAACGACTGTGACGTGTCGAGGCGCAACTATGTTCAATGATGGTGCGGTCATCTTAGATCACTGATTGGTTGGAATATTTCAAAATGCCTACGTGGTCGAGACATGTGCGACGAACCAATTTCATTGACGAATTGGATTTCGGCACGCTCGAAATCACAAATAGCTGCAACAGAGGAGCAACACCCCCCCTTTCCTTCACTTCTGGGTCGTGTCATGGATTGCTTGCAATGATGCTGTACTCGTGCAGTACTGGGAGCGTATACACAGCGAACGCGTATGATTGTTGCTGTTGTTCTCGAATCTAAACTACATATACGATATAATGGTCATTCTTACTTATGATAGTACACTCTGATTAAAACCTAGAGAAGTACATCCACGGCATGCGTGTTTACAATACAACTTACGATTCCTATTCAACCTTGAGTCAAAAGCGAAAGGCTTCATCCAAATATCAGGAGCTAGCGGCAGGGACAGCAGCATCAGTGCCATTGGTGAGGGCAAGAGGGTTGGGCGGCTCATTGAAGATCTGGATGTTCTCGGGGCCTCCATTGCGAATGGCGACGTAGAAGCTGGCGTACATGTTGACTCGGTCCATGTACTGCTGCTGTGTGATGGAGCGCACTTGCACCACTGCCATTGGATGGGGGGAGGGAAAAAAAGGCAAATATTAGATTATAGCAAGGGGAGGGACGAGGAAGTCGGGGGAGGATGGGATTTAAGATGGGAGGTGGGGAGGAAGAGGAGGAAAAATAGAGGGGGAACGTGGTGGGGCTGACGTGAGACACAGGAGGAAGAAAGGAACTTGTTTTTCACTCCATGACCTTGGTTCAGCCGTCTCGTTATGCCAGTCAGCTCCCCCCTAAGTCATACCCCAAAGAGAGCACTCTCAAGCTCTTACCCTTGAATCCGGCCTTCTCAATGTCCTTGGCATACTCGGGGTTGCGAGACGCGCTGCGCCAGATGACACGACCTCCGGGCTGCGACGGCGGGGAGAAACAACAAGGGGGAGAAAGAAGAGGAAAGGGATGAACAGGTAAGGGGGAGGGATGAAGTGCGCTATATTACACAGCCTTCAGGCTGCAGGCCTCCGTGGAAAGGAACAAGAGAAAGAGTAGATGTCAAGAGGCCCAACAGAGGGGAGATGAACTGTGCTGCAAGCACTGATGTGCGGAACATATGCACTTGGAAGGAACAAGCATGCCGCAGCAGGGGGAGTGCTGAGACACGGGGTGGAGATCTTGTGCCCACAAGCCAATGACTGAGCTTATAATATGGTTCACTGCACTCGCGACCTAACACAGTCCCGACAACCTTGTTGCCTGGACTCACCTTGACTTGGTCCTTGAGTGCTTGGCAGAGTGTGTCAATGTCACGCTGCCCCAGCCAATCTACATGGTCCATCAGAATGACCTGCCGGGGAATGGGGGAGGTGAGCAGCGATAGGTTAGAATTGCCAGGGATGAGTCAGCGAATGGAAGGAAAATTTGCGGAGCGTGTCAATATCGTACTGCCCCAGCCAATCCACATGAGGGAATAATAAGTGAGGAGTGCAAAGTGAGTGGAGGAATGGGGTCAGCAGGTGAGGGTTTTGAAGGGCAAAGCTGTCCCTTAAGCTTTGAACTATGCAAAGAGACAGATTTGTATAGCCAGAAGGAAAAAAGTGGTCATTCCATGGTTTGGGATCAAACAATAACACACCTTGGTGTACATGCGAGCTCGCAGCTCTTCCACAAAGAAGGATGTTGAGATGAGCATGCAGTCCCGGGCGGCAAGCTCCGTCTGTTGCCCCAACAGGAACGTCGCCGAGAGGGTAGTTCAGAGAGAAGGTGCAGGAGAGCAGGAGAAATACGGGATGAGGAGCATAAGGGAGAAGGAAATGAGAGGTGAGGGGCAGGAGAGGGCAGGAGAGGCATGAGAGGCATGGAAAGGGGGAGATTAGGGCCCAGGGTTGGACACATGGGGGAGGATGACGGGTGGTAGGAGGGAAAGGAAAGCTGAGTGGAGGGCCCCTATTTTGGTCGCTTGAGGGTGAAAGAGTGGAAGAGATGGAAAAGCTGCTTGTTCACCACAACCCCAAGCCTCTCCACATAGACCCTACCCCCACCACAAGCTTATGCCTTAGCCCCTATTCCCCCATCTCACGCCCTGCGCGTTGCACCCACCTTGAGCTTGTTGAAGCAGGGCTCCTGCAGGAAGCGCGGGCAGAGATTGCACCACTCACAGCTGCACATGCTTGGCATACTTTGAAACCATAACCCTCGAGCGTCACCCCTAGCCGGAGCCTGAACGTCACCACTAGCCCCACACACATACCCACCTTGAGCTTGTTGAAGCAGGGCTCCTGCAGGAAGCGCGGGCAGCAGTTGCGCGAGAACTGGCCAGTCAGGCAGCAGCGGTAGAAGTAGTTGCTGTGGGGGGGAGGGGGGAGAAGGGGGGGGAGAAAGAGAGAAGGGGGCAACGCTTCAGCCACAAAGTGCAAGCAGTGCACGATATAGCAGTGATACACATTCTCGCCACTTGCGCACACTACACCAACTGTCACTGTATTCACCTGTCACCAAGTAAGGGCGGCGCGGGCCCCAGTGGTACACAATCTCTCAACCTTCACCTGCCGGGGCAAGTGGTATCTGCCACCAAATTCAAGCAGCACACAACGTAGCGGTACACGTTGTCCTCCTTGCGGATGAGGCGCAGCTAGCCCCTGCCCTCCGCACCCCCAGTATGTCCAACAGCCATACACTAACCACAGGACGCCACACAAGCCTCACCTGTCACGAAGAGAAGTGGACTCTGCCACTGAATCCAAGCAGCGCACGACATAGCGGTACACGTTGTCCTCCTTGCGGATGAGGGGCAGCTGGCCCCTGCTCTCCCCAACCCTGCCCGCCTGCCCCTTGCACGCTAGCCGCACACACAGCCTCACCTGTCACGAAGTGAGGTAGTCTCTGCCACTGAGTCGAGGCAGCGCACAACGTAGCGGTACACGTTGTCCTCCTTGCAGATGAGGCGCAGCTGGCCCCTGTTTCCGCATCCCAACCCTACCCGTGTGCCCTTGGACATGTTACAACCCTCACCTGTCACGAAGGGAAGTGGTCTCTGCCACGGAGTCGAGGCAGCGCACGACATAGCGGTAGACGTTGTCCTCCTTGCGGATGAGGCGCAGCTGCCCGCGGGCGATGCCGGCGCAGAACCAGAGCACCACGCGGTTGGTGAAGAAGAAGCCGAAGATGCGCGCAAACATGTTGGCTCTGGTCAACCATCGGCCGATGGTGTTGGTCCTGTAGGCGGGTGGAGAAGAGGGGAGGGAGGAGGGCACAGCAGAACCAGAGCACCACGCGGTTGGTAAAGAAGAATCCGAAGATGCGCGCTAACATGTTGGCCGGGGTGAGCCACCGCCCGATGGTGTTGGTCCTGCGGGTGTTGGGGAGCGGTCAGAGTAGCAGGGATGTGTGGGAGGAGAGCAAGGGTGAGCAGCACCACGCGGTTGGTGAAGAAGAATCCGAAGATGCGCGCAAACATGTTGGCACGGGTGAGCCACCGCCCGATGGTGTTGGTCCTGTGGGCGTGAAGAGAGTGGGGAGGGATGGAGGGGATGTAGGGGATGGATGGGTGGGTGGAGAGGTTAGTGATGCTGAGGAGAATCCAAAGATGAAAGCGAGCATATTCGCGCATGTGGGTGTGAGTGAAGAAAGTGGGAGGGGATGGAGGGAGGGGAGCATCCTGTTGGTGCTGTAGAATCCGAGGAGGGTTTGCGCAGGCCTCCGATGCCGCACATTATGCCACAGACCTGACTGCACTGCACTTCACATCATTGTGCTACTGCACTACACTGAACCGCACTGCACTGCACCACACTGCGCTGCACTGCAGAGTACTGACCAGATCTCATACTGGGTCTCGACGGAGGGGGCATTGACCAGGTTGTCGATCCACTTCTCCTGTAAGCATGGATTCAC